TGGTAGACGTCAAATATAAAAGGCTGAAATTTGACAGAAAGGATTCTCTTCCTACACACTATCATAGAAAAAATCGGAGTAGTTATGCATCAGTGACTTGAGAAAAAAATTGATATTTGCATCCTAAATTATTGTTTTAAGGAAAACCATGTACCTGTAATGTTAATTTTTTCAGAGGTTAGTTGTAGATAACAAATTACAAAAAAATAGTACTACACATTTTTACAAAATTCCACAGTCTTTATTTATTTTTTTTTTTCAATTCGCTTAACCCTGATTCATAGTTTTTTAATGTTTTCGACTTGCGATCACACATTTTTTGCCATTCCCTCAACTTTTGGGAGAAATATAACATATGAGATAAAATTACAAGAATTTTTTTGGTTTTGCCATATTCTACAACATTTCAGCTATAGAGAATGCCGTTGGATCGATATCGATATCTTTCAGGATAGAAAGATATTCCTCTTTATTTTTTCAATTTTAATTTCCTTCGGTGCATCGCCGCTAATACAAAAAAGGATTTTTTTTAGAAAAGAAACACCCATTAACTCGGAAACAATCCATTCCCGTTTATGAATTATAATATAATTGCGGAATCTTGTTAAGCAATTCATTTAGCGAAACATGTTAAGACTTGCATTTTTCTCGCTAAAGTGACATATTCGCCAGCGCGAAGTCCCGCCACTGGCGTAACCACATCAGAACCTACCATAACAAACGGCCATCGCGCTGGGTCACGGAGAACAATTTAAACAACACGGAAAAGTCAACAAATAGTCCCTTGGGCGAAAAAGAGAGTTGGCAGTGCGGGGGGCGGCTTGTGCGAAGGGCGGCCGGGATGCAGCGCGCGGTTCAACGTCTCTTGACCAGTTTCTGTGAATTGAACACAATTTCCCTGTTCCACGTGTAATGGTAGGTGCACTTCATACTATACGGGGCGCAGCGAAGGGTCATGAGAACGGACAACCATGGGTGGCTCTGCTTGGAAGGTGACGATCGTCTTCTGTTTTGGCAAGCGAAACAATATGGAAGCGACACGAGGCCGGGCGACCGGAGAGCGGATTCGTAGACACTGCACAACGTCGCGATCGCGGCACTTTACTGACGACGAATTGACGCGGTCCGTGGTCGCAAGAGTGGACTGGCTGTCCCTCGAACTGTCCCCTCCAGTCCCCCTTTCGAGTCAACGTGAATGCATAACAAGCGAGTTTGTAAATATTGTTCGATAGGTCGTTCCGTTCGTTTCTCGACAAACAAATCGCTGATAATGGTAATGTGTGTGCGGTTTCGATGGCTGCCGCAATTAAATTAAAAAGAGAGATTCGAGGATTCGAGATTTTCCTTTCATGAAAGGAAAAAAATTATCAGTCAGTTTGATCCGCCTGCAAGAATTCCCTCTTCACAGAGGCGGCTCGTCAAAGGAGGCTTAGCCTCCCTATAAAACTTGAGGCTATTCATCGCAATAAATTAAAAGATATTTACAAATAATTATGATTTTTTTTCCTAAAAATGCTTGGTTATCATTACTTTACCATTAATTTTTAATATAAATACATAATATGACCGGAAAAACACTATCACTCACTACGTAGTATGTACCACACTGTATCCTGCATCAACAAAAGTCAAACGCACCTCCAATGAACGAATAACGAATAAACCATCAACCCGAAATGATAAATGCCATACGTTGCAAGGGAGCCAAGCCTCCGAACGCTTTAAAATACACAGGCTCCACGAGACCGATCCAACCAGCGACATACGTCCCGATTTGTAATTTCAGTTGCAGAAATTATAGCGTTAGAGGAGGCTAGCCTCCTCGATAAATGCGATTGGTTAACCGGCTCCATTAAACGAGAAAAACTTTTTTGTTGGCCCTGTGTTTTATTTTCCGTTATTATATTATGTGTTTACCACACTTTGCAATCACATAAAAACTGATTTTCAGTGGATGCATCAACACCAAATTCTTATTTTCCTCCTTAAAGAAATGTTACATTCAGAATGGCCAACCAAATATGAAAGACTTTGAGATCTAGCTAGATATATTTAACGGTTCATTCTTCCTTTCGATTTAATGAAGAATCATAAGGAATACTTTTTCATCGAGCAATTACATGTGGAACTTTTTTTTTTGGACGCTGAACTATCAACGTGTCCTTAGTGTGGATGAATGCATTATTCTTTTCCGATTCAATATTTTAAGGTTCTCTATTTTTTGGCAATTTCACGTCGAATTTGTTTTGTGTTTATTTAGTTTGGCCTCATTCTTCTATTGATAATATTTTTATATTTTGAGTGGGGTCACGTCAGAGGGTCAGCGAATGTTCAGTAGATTTCCATCAATTTATTACGTCCAAGAGAGAAAGGCATTATCGATATAACACGCCACCGTTTGAATATGTGAAATAAATTATAATATTCATTCATTCATTTATTTATTCAAGTACTAATTGTATACTAATATAATTGTATATATAATATTATGAACTTTCATTTTTCCAAAATATATTTATTTATTCACCAATTTCTATTTTCTCCCCTTCAAAGTGAGGCAAACGCCATGAATTGTTTTTCCACATCATCAGACGTTTTCTTCGTCTTGCTTCTCGCAAGCTGAACGTAAGCTCCAGGATACGATCATGTGGCAAGAACTATGCCACGGTTACCGAAGAATACAGTTGACAAAATCGAACTTGACGTGCTTTTTTGATCTTGACTGTCCTGGCCTCTTCCTTTGGACTTTGGTTTCGATGTCATAACCATACACCCATTATTCGTCAATCATTCAACAATTCATCAGCAATACTCATGCGACGGTTTATTGGTAAAAATTCACCAATTTTGGAAATAACTTCGCTGTCACACTCTTCATGCTCAAAATTTCCAAAAAAAGTGAATGGCATGAGCCAATCATTCACATCTTCGCGACCCTCTGTGAAAAACTTGTGCAAGTTTTGTAAAAAAATTTCTGGCTGAGAGTACAATCATCGTATGCCACTGTCAATATTTCAAGTATTTTTTGAGCACCTAATTTCATATTTTACTCAAAACTTTATGCAAATTATTTGAACCATTTTTTAAATAGGCCTTGTACAGTGTCATCCCCAAAGTATACACCATATGAGAAACTTATTCATTAAGAGGTTTTCGACAAAAAGTTATTCTTGATAAAAGTTTGTGCATTCCCTAAAACTAAACATGCACCAACAAAATACAGTAAAACACACGTAATATACGAGGGGCTTTCAAATATTTGATTTTCAAGTCAAGAAAATGGCCTTATAAGCCGAAACCGGTTGTAACGAATAAATACACCCAGTAGAAACTAGACAGTATTTTCTTTATTCTATATTCAACATGAATTTCTACAAAATGAATAATTCATCAATCGAACGAGACAAAACATCAAAATAAAATAGGTATTTCGGAACAAACTCATTGATTTTCTGCAGATTTTCTTGCCCAAAATAATTCTCCAAAATAATCTCCACAAAATCAACGAGTTTGTTCTAAAATACCTAATTTATTTTGATGTTTTGTGATTTGATATTATTGAATATTAAGTTCTTATTACATTACTGTATAATTTTGAGTAATTTTCGGTGTTAACAAAAAATAAAAATAACTTTGCACCGAAAACTTTGAAAATTATTTCACTCTTCAAAAAAATTGACCGTGGTTAACACCATAGTTATATAATTCGTAATATTACAGGCTTTTAAAATGAACGGTCGAATACAGGATGCTGTTTATTTATCGTTTTAGCAAATTTATTATTCATAGTCCCCATTTAAAAAAAAATGGGTAAAAAAATAAAACTTCACTCAGATATCCCTGACTTCAAATCTAGATACATTTTTCAATGCTGAACAACTTTTCTAAATAACATTTCCCAAAATTTTTCAAAATAAGAGTACTTTACTCTTGTCTTAAAATATTTGAAGGTTCCTCGTATATTACCTGTGTTTTACTGTATTTTGTTAGTACATGTTCAGTTTTAGGGGATGCACAAACTTTTACCAAGAATAACTTTTTGTCGAAAAACCCTTAATAAATAGGTTTCCCATATGGTGCATACTTTTGAATTACACTGTATATTGTCTAGTTTCATCTGCTCCTAGAAAGTGATTCTCTAGAATGTGGGGTTCTCTCAAGTTTCGCCATTGTGTAGTAATTGATACAATTTCGTTTTTATTTCTATCTTACTTTAATTAATTGGCAAATGTGACAATAGAGAAATGGGGAATGTTCCTCAATTTGGGTTATTACAGCAAATGCAAGTTTGAACAAAATAAAGTTGAGTTTAATTCATGAGTTTTTCAAAATTACTTCGAAAAGTATTCAAATTGATGTTTCAAATGTTGGGTTTTAATTCTTAAAAGGATTTGTTTCTAATTCAATTATAATTCAATTGAAGCAAAATATAAATTACAGTTCAATACCACCTCCTTAAGCCACATAAACAACAGTTGTTTTGTTATTTATTTATATAGAGGAAGATAGGTTAGGTGCACTAAATGTCATATGTCACAGAATGTCTCGGAACTCGGAACATAAGTAAACAGAACAGCACGCCTCTTGAAATATGTCATCTTTGTTCCTCTCATATAGGTAACAGATTCATTGTCCTTTATTAGCTATAACCGATGTTGCCAAATGGTGAAATAGAAACGAATCCCTTTAAATGTTGAATGTATTATTTCATTCCTCTTTTTAAATGATCTAAATAATTTTTTAAAGAAAAAGGTTGAAATGATAAGTTTGAAAAATGCGTTGCTTTAGAGCTCTTTTATGAAAACTACTTGATTTTCGTCAGGAGGAACATTCCCCATTCTTCAAAATTCTATAAGACAATAACTATGTGGGAATTTTGGTAATAAACCAAGCCATCATTTCAGTAATTTATGATGATAGCTTATATGAGTTATTAACCACCACATCAAGATAATGAAATCTTATTTTATATTAACCATTCCATATGTCTTATCACTCACCTTCCTTGATGAGATCATCCAAATCCATCAGGTTTTCGAGGTTTTCCAGGATATGAGAGGCAACCTCCGCCTTGCTTTCGCAGGCTGCGAGATCGGAGTCAAATTTGATGTCATACTGGTCCAAAGATGTCTGGTAGAGGGACACGTCAACCAGAGACGCCTCATCGAAGTCGAAGGGCGACCTGGGCTCCTCCTTCCAAAGCAGCACGGAACTCATCTCGAAGTCGGGTGTTGCTCAAAAGGATTGGAAATTCGGAAAGATTTATTGAAGATGCTTGTTGCGATGCCGAAACGGCGGATGGGAAAAGCGCCATGATGGCTCTGGAAAGAAAGAATGTGTTATGTTAGTGTGTTTCATGTTCAAAACAGGCCATTTCAGCTTCGTTCAAAATATACACTATTTTATGAATCTTTCTGTACATTTTTTTAAATTAATAAACTATACCACAGTCAAAACTGTCGACACTTGACAACTTTGACATTTTAATATTTTAAATATCTTTTCACCATCTATCAAAGAAATTTGGAAAAGAGGTTAATTTCCGAATATATTTTTCCGAAAACTACTATGATTGAATATAACTGGCTGATACTTGATGAAAATCCATATTAAAAGCTTCTTCAAGCATAAGTTAATGCTTGAAGAAGCATAAACACGTGTCGCGGTTTTTGTAAAACCCTTTATAGTGAAAATCATACAATTAACTGTATTAATTACTTTTAAAACTACTATACACAAAATTAGACAATAACTTATTTGGGTGAATTAGTATTTTAATTTTATCAGACTGTGAAAGGTGAAAATTCCCAAGAGTGGTCAATAAAAAGTGTATTTCTATTCTCACAAGGCTCTTTCTCCTGAAATAAATTCGTGTTATGACATTTCTTCACTATATTTATATCTATACTGCAGAGATGGGAAATTCTTTTGGACTACACTGTACTAGGGTTGAGAATTATCTGCAAATCTAGCTTTTTAGTTACCTCCATATATTGTTTTAAAACAATTCAACGAAAAACAAATTATCGTTTAGTTATTTTTTACGATACAAGATACAATTGTTTTATCCCAGAGTTTTGCAACGCCACCTTGCGGCAAAGATCAGCCCGAAATCCGAGTTTTTCATCGGACTGTACTCCTATAACAAATCATAGTCAACAGCATGATTTTAATTCAGGATTAAGATATGATATGTTACTGTATTCAAACATAATGATAATAATAAACTATAGGTATGAAATTTGGGAGAGTCCGAGAGTCCATCTCAAAAGAGGACGATGCAGGGGCTACAGAGAGGATGTGCAGCTCGTATATGGAAGTATCCTGCACCATCTGGATGTCGGAAAGACGCGTACTTACTTCGGGGTGGAACAACGCCACTTAAAGAGGTAACAGTAATGAAGAACTTTCTCCGAGGCAAGTATCAGAACAAACTCATCGAAACTGTCGGGAAAGAACTGCTGCTGAAACGAATATGCTTGCCGTTTCAATCTTACTCTACTCGTTTGGAGTAGGGAAGTGTATCCCGGAGGAGCAACACTATTGAAGACCTTCGCTTATCAAAGCGCCTGATCTTCGCTTTCCTGAGGTCGAGTGGGCTGAAGTCGTAACCTGACAGGTTCATGTCTGCCAGGATGGCAGACTTGAACCCGTGATAGTAACACTCCGTTTTAGGTTACGTTGAAAATTTTGAAAACGTCTATGAATTTCCACTAATTCCAAGTGATGTAATAAGGTAATGAGTGTAATAAGGTGCAAATCTATTATCTTTATATCTTATAATATGTACTTCATCAACGATTTCGTATTGGTTTAGATTCTAGACCCATACGAGTTCGTTCTAGAATATCAAATACATTCAAGGGGTTCAATAGTCCATAAATTTATCTATTAGTTGATAAGCAAGTAACTAGACGAATTTGGTACATTGAAATTAGAAAACGTGATGTTATATAAACGATTTTATATGTATACTTTTAATTCAACATATACCTTTCACTTCAATTCTTTTGTGGTAACAGTTGATTTTTTGAAACTGCAAACAAGAATTTTAACTGTTACTTGTTATACTCTATTCAAATTAAATTTTATTACATCACAAAGATACTTATACGAGAGAACAACCCTGTATAACTGACTGTATCTTTCACCTCTCAATCAAGTATTGCCTCTTGCCTGCCGATTTCAGAATGAGGTTACCTGCAACCTTCTTTGGATTGACTCAAACATCAAATATGTTGTTTTTTCGTTTCTTCTACCACGCTAGATATCACTATCACAGTGCAATGTTGCCAAATGATCGAAAAATTACTCTTTAGCAAGAAATTCAAACTCCAAATGATCTCAAACTTACTACATATATATGCAGATTTAAAAGATAAATACATTGTTAAATAGTCTGTGAGTACATAATAAGATTTCAAAGTTCTAGTGTCTCCTTCAAAAAAAAGCAACGGACTCTAGAATTCCCATTAGATTCGTTTTTCTATAATTCAACACCCAAAAATTAAGAACTACTTGAAAATGGTAGTCCCGTTTCAATCTACAATATTTACTCAGAATGTACTACATACGATACGAGGAAACATATGTTTATTTGGCATGTGTTTCTCCAAAATATATTTATTGCTCAATGAATAACTGGCAACACTGTCACAATTTCTCATGACTCCTGTTACACGACATGGCTTCTTTCCCGTTACTTACTAGCCACTTTAAACATGTAAACATTTGTGGAATAGTAAAAACAGAATGAAATACTTACTTCATTTTAACTAGTTGTGACGGCACACTCGCGTGTGCGAAACTTAAGGCGGCTAGAACCCCATGACTCCTGGATAGCGCACGGATTAGAAAAACAATATGCACTTTACTTGACCATGAGAGAAATTGTGGAATAATGGCCGATTTTGCCCGCGTTTCTTCTTTTTCTGCGATCTGCGCGTGCGCTCTTTCCTAGAAATTCATCGATTGCATTACAGGGTGTATAAACAACCAAATTTTATGAAATGTGATTTTATTATTATAGATCATTGTTAATTTTGTCGATCGGATCTGTTACAGGATTGGCCTTTGAAACTACTGGTTTTTCAAGATAAATGTATATTTTTTTTCAACTTTTAATGATGAAACCATCACATATCTCTTGCTAATGAAATAATATACTTGTGATATACTGTTTGGAACTTTGGTGTAGTAATGAATATTACCGGAGTTTTTTCCCAACACTAAATCGTTATTTTTACACCTCGACACGTGTTTCGATCACCAAGTGATCATCTTCAAGAGGAAGATAAAACTCTTCCTCTTGAAGATGATCACTTGGTGATCGAAACACGTGTCAAGGTGTAAAAATAACGATTTGGTGTTGGAAAAAAACTCCGGTAATATTAATGAAATAATATAAACTATATTCAGATTTTTGTATTTCGGTTTTAGAATCACCGTCTATTTTTTGATTTACTTGATTTGATTTACACTTCCACTGCTAACTTTTATCAGGAAGTACGACCGGCAAAAGAATTTCGGCTTGATTAAATTCGGCAAATGTTAAAAACTACAATAGAGTGTCTCATTTCAAAAAAGGTGATCCAGCAAAGACATTGATCTTTCGACCTATATCAATTTTGTGCAATTTTTCAAAGCTGTTCGAAATAATATCGCACGAGTTCATATATATGGCTCAATTAAAAACGTCATTTCGACTGATCAGCATGGCTTTGTCAAAGAGAAATGATGGGTTACCAACCTTTCCTGCATTTTATTATTTCTGACGAAATTGATAAAACATTCTTGGGTAGATATAGATTTAATTTGATATGCAGAAAGCATTTGATCACAGTGATTTGCAAATACTTATCAGTAAAATAGTTATGGTTTCTTGTCTAGTTTGCTTCAGATTAATATGTCTTGAAGGTTATCAGTCGAATTTTCACTCATCCACCTCTGGAGTGTCACTAGAATTTGTGTTTGGGGGGCTGGATTGATTTGAATATTATAATATGGAGTATTACGGGTCACGACTACTAAATTCAAAGGTAAATTTGGGATTAACTTTTGTTGTAACCATTTACCATCATTTTCAGAATTAATTTCTGAATGATAATCCCCTGATGTGCCTGATTTAAATATAATTAGAAGATTAGGTATAGAGCCCATGCCCCCTCCTGCATGGACAATGAGTTTTGGTCCCTTCACAATATATTTAAGCAACCCTTTCATTGATTCATCCGTTCAGTTCATGGAAGATGTATGTCCACTATGAAGGTATGTTTAATCAAGAAACACAATTGGTCGCTGTTGGCTACGAAAATAATATTTTCACGTATAGTCAGTGGGCATACTTGAAGACTGGCTATAAATCAAATCATCTAAGAGAACAATTCGTTCAGGCCAGTCTCAACACCCTACACAGTAGGTTAATGGACTGACACCTATCAGAAAACAACTACTCCCCTGGCTATTACCACGAAGGGCGTTGGATTATATCCGACAGGTGTCAGTGCTGTTGGCGATAAAATTGCCGCAATAGATTTTCAATTATTGGAACACACTTGCAGACCGGTTTCGGGCTGTTTGGCCACTCGTCAGTGCAAGGTAGTGTATATCATCAACATAAAGTCGATGATTTCCGATAATTGAAAATCGAATTCCGTCAGAGTATCATTCCTCGATATAAGCTGAAGACTACAACAAACAACAGGTTTGTCGTCGCCCCATCTGCGTGTTAGCGAGGTAACCAACTGCATATCCGAAATTTGCCCAATTCCTCGTATAAGGAAAGAAATCTTTCACTTATAGTCAGATACAGATATAATCCAACGCCCTTCGTGGTATTAGCCAGGGGGGTAGTTGTTTTTTGACCTACTGTGTAGGGTGTCGAGATTGGCCTGAACGAATTGTTTTTTTAGAAGATTTGATTTATAGCCAGTCTTCAAGTATGCCCACTGACTATACGTGAAAGATTTCTTTCCTTATACGAGGAATTGGACAAATTTCGGATATGCAGTTGGTTACCTCGTTCACAGGCAGATGGGGTGACGACAAACCTGTTGTTTGTTGTAGTCTTCAGCTTAGTTCGAGGAATGATACTCTGACGGAATTCGATTTTCAATTATCGGAAATCATCGACTTTATGTTGATGATATACACTACCTTGCACTGACGAGTGGCCAAACAGCCCGAAACCGGTCTGCAAGTGTGTTCCAATAATTGAAAATCTATTGCGGCAATTTTATCGCCAACAGCATTTGCAGGAATATCTTCAGTGAAGAATCCTGCACTGACACCTGTCCGGATATAATCCAACGCCCTTCGTTGTATTAGCCAGGGGAGTAGTTGTTTTCTGATAGGTGTCAGTCCATTAACTTACTGTGTAGGGTGTCGAGACTGGCCTGAGGGAATTGTTCTTTTAGATGTCCATTATACCTCAAAGTGGGGTGCAGTAGATTTGCGAAGATTAAAAAAAAAATAAAAACTCAGAGTCGTCTCCACAATTTATTATCACCCTCAGCTTAGGGTGATAATAAATTGTGGAGACGACTTAGAGTTTTTATTCTTTGCACGAAAATAATAGATTTTTTTGTAAAAACTTGACTCTCAATGCCAATGTCCATTTTCTTTAAAATTCTACGAAGAGATGTTTTGGAATCCACAATTACCAAAACGCAATAATTTTGTGTTGGAACTTTAATACGACACTTTTCCGTCTTATGAAAGTCGTAAATAATCCATCTAATATTGGCATACTCATACTCGGGAATACCAGTTACTGGTGCTCTTCTAGGCCGCTTCTTTATTGGGGTGGAAAATTTTACTTCTCCGTTATTTGCAGAAACTAATTGTTACCATTCTTTAACCACTCCAACGGTTCTTATTGAAATATCTAACACAAGATAAAGATTTGTGTTGAAATAGCTATTTTTAAAATTTATTTAATGTTACCTGCAACAAGAAATGTTTTATTTGTCACATTTGATAACGTTTCCGACTCACATTCAACACTTTGAAAATAATTATATATAAATAATAATAACCTGAATCTTCACGACTGGTTTTTTGTTAGGCGATGACGCCAACAGCATTGGAGGAAAAGTAATGACACGCCTCTGTACAGAACATTTGTATGTCTTGCAAGAGCTTTAGTAGGGGTTACACTGAAAATGAGTTTGTGCGCATAGAGGCGGGTCGCCATCATATTTGGCGCTTGCTGTAGGTTAATTACCCTTCATTATTTTGAATGTATAAACAATACTTACATAATAAAGTGTGCTTGAGATTGATAATCATTGAAGAGAATCAAGGTGAGTCGATTGCATCTCAGCATTATATGCATATGTCTGTTTAGAAGTTTTTTGTAGTTGACCCAACTTGTTTTGATACATTACATTAATGTAGCACAGAAGTTGAAATGTTGCTGAATTATACAATTGTGAATCATGACTTTTGAGACTATTGAAAAAAAAAATTTTCTTTAGTTACTAGATTATTTAATCATTTCTTTATCGCTTCTATAAAACCTATGCATTATGCTTTTCACTTGGCTGTTAGCATAGAAGGTCTGTTCAAAAAATAAGGTGAATGTTCAAATTTCGCAGGCTACATATATTTCATTAGGGATTTTTTTGTTGGTAAATTCGCTGAATCGCTGAGAGACCTGAAAGACATTCCAAAAAGTGTATAACAAAACTGCTTCGAGGATTCAAAGTAGTCCCCTAAGGAGAACTACTTTGGAGGGGACAAAATGGAAATTGATGAATAAATAAATTTTCTGATTGATTCGGCCGTTACTTGATGAAGATCCATAGTAATTTCACAAACTACACTTAAACGATTTGATCTCCACTAACTTTATTGAAAATAATCATATGATGATTATTTTCAATAAAGTTAGTGGAGATCAAATCGTTTAAGTGTAGTTTGTGAAAAGAGAATAAATAAATATTCACTGAGAAAAATTAAAATTCATCTTATTTTTTTAACAGACCTCCTATGTTAATTTGGAGCTCTTCAATAATTTCGCTATTATTATTACTATTTTGACAGTTATGTAAGTTGTCTGCAAGTGGGAATTGCACCTGTTGGGACAATAAAGGTTTTTTTTAAATATACTATGAAGTTTATAGTCTTGACCGAATCACAGTTTAATTTAATATTTACAAACTGAAAATGAATAATTTGTATGAAAAATAAATATTATGTACACCGTAACAATTGATTTTCTTGTTTTGTTGTTTTTTGGGATTGTTGTTGAGAAACACTCGAATGACTGTTGACAATCCGAAGAAAATACAATGGAACATGACCTCCTTCAAATTAATTATTAAATATAATACAATATTTGTTGGTACAGTCTAATTTCGATTCTCTTCTACTACCCATCCAATGTTGGACTATTTGTTTGATTTTTTAAAGCGACGTTTTCGTTTCACTGTTTTCCGGGCCTGGTTGATGAAACGGTTCTGATTTTTGTTTCGCTGCATCGCTTTCCCTTTTCCATTACCGGTTGTTTGATTGTTCGGGGGATCATTAGCGCATTTCTTCTCCGTCGGTGGGATTTTGATTCTCTTTTGGGGAAGTCGATTGAGGCTCAGATGAACGCTCTGTTTAACCAGCTCCGGCAGATCATCTGAAATATCATTAGACGAGTGAAATATAAAATGTTTGTAAAGACAAAAGATAGAAAAGTGCCCACCTTCCATCAAACCTGCAAAAAACCGGTTCATTTCTGCCAGACAAGCTTCGTCGTGCTCTTCTTTGGGCCGAAAATGACGGCAAATTTTTCCCAGTAACAAAATCGCTGTTGCCTTAAAATTCACATTTTCTGTGGGAATTTTATAAATTAGTGGTTTGAAGAACTCATTGATTTTTTTATATACCCACTTCGTGTCTTTATTGCGACAATACAGACGAATCGCAAAGTCGGATGCTGGCGATGGATTTCCTAAAAAATAAAAATAATGAAAATTGATGAAAGTCCAGCAGATTTTTTTTGTGATGAATGAGAAATGAGATACATACATATTTATTAGAATTACGAAAGGAACCCTAATATACATAGAATGAAAAAAAAAAGATTCAACATATTTTGTGTTTATTAATGTACAGATGAAATACACATCTCAGTAAAAATTAAACAATATCACTCGAGATTGTAATTTTGTAAGAATTGCTCAAATTACGAAATTTATTCATCATTGATAAATTCTTTCAGTTGTTTTTTAAAAAGCTTTTGCGATGGAGACATTGGAGTTACTTGGTAACTTATTAAATTCCTGAAAACCTTTGAAAAATAAGTTCATAATGGGTTGATATGTGACTTTTGTCTTTTCCACAATGTTATAGGTATGAATATTTGGTAAAATTTTGGATAAGCTGCACCCTTAGAATAAAAAATCGGCGCTTTACTTTATTTTCAGACTTACACCCCTCCAAAGTTGCGAAAATTTCAACTTTTCAGCCTTGTTTTACAAATAAAATATGGAAAAACAGAAATTTTTACTTACTTTATCACCTTTACATCTTATTTCACCTTCTTTGATACCTTTAATACTCAACATTTTGAAATTGATGAATAAGGTGATCCTAACTAAAAAGTTGTACAAAGGTATTGGATATCTTTTCTGTTCTTTCTACCTGTTGTATCGATCTGAAATATTTTCAGCATTGCGGCGTTGCCACTTCAATCGCTCTGGTATTTTAATACTTTTTTGTTGATAATGTCCTATACCTATCTCTATCTGTTTTCGAGATAAAAAATAAATTGTGCTAAATATGGTCCAAAACATAGTCTTAATTGAAATTAAGTACGTCAGTACTCTCAATTCATGAAAAGTTGATATTTTGATGATAGTTTGGAAAAAATAATTTCCTTAACTATGGCTCAAAGTTTCCAGGGAACAACTGTACCAAAAATCAGTCATTTCTAGGTAAAAAGTAAGATTTTGTGGGCTAAAACATGTGAAAGTACAGACAATAACAGAATAGGATGATTCAAAATAACAAAATTGTAAACAAAATATCACATTTTCACAATAAATGCTGAAAATGTTGTCCTCTTGTCACTTTGAAAGGGCATTTGTATCCCAAAAAAAATATAATACGAACAATGCTCATCCAACTACAATATGTAAACTTTCATCCAAGAATCTCCAAATACTAACCCTTCCATGTTTGCATATTCTTGAGCTGATTACGTACATTATTAGAAACCAAAATGAGGAATGAGTACACTCATATGTATAATACTATCATATTGGTATCAAATGTTACAATAAAATAAGAGATATAGATATGAATCTGAATGATATTCTATTCAAAAATAAATTGAGAAATTTTCTTCTTGAAAATGTATTTTATAGTGGTGAAGATTTTATATTTCCTGATACATTACAATTTTGAAACTGAGTATTGTATGTATAATTTTTGATTGATGAATTATTATTATTATTATACACGTGAGTACACCCATTTCTTTATAGGAGGTTGCAGGCTATCCAAATTTCACCAAATATTTTTATTGAATATTATGAAACTTTTTTTACAGAAAACCATCAAAAAGTCGTTATTGGAGTGATCCGATTCGTTCTTAGAACCATTCAATTAACCAAGATTGAAAAAATACAAAACTGAAGGCAAAATCAAAATGCGACTGGATCATGGAATTATAAACTGTTATTTTGGTTTCAGTTGATTATTATCGAGGTATTTGAGTGAAAAAATTAATTTTTTTTGAGATTTTTTTCATGAATATAATCGAAATATGAATTGAGGCTCTAAAAGTTGTTCGTCATAAAACACAGATACTTGGCATTTGACACAATTTGAATTTCTTCATTCTTGATGTTTAGGTCAATATCAACAGCATCATATTTGAATTTAGTTGTAAAAATCATTGCTCGTGTCTTCAATACATCCACACTTATTAATTTTTTTAATGAAAAAAACTTACGTAAATATTCCTGACAAACCTCCTCGAAAAAAGTATCGCAGTTGGACCTCTCTTTGGGATACCCGTAAAACTGATGCAAGAGGCACCTGAGAGGTAACAAATTGTAACCTGGTTTATTGCAAGTCTTCAAATGGACAAGCTGTACTAAAACTTTGGCCATGGGATAATCTGGAAAAAATAATCTCCATTGCAAGATAGAACATCTTTGACGATTGCTAGTTGAAATGAATCACTGAAATGAATAACATTGAAAATATTTATTCCCTCTGTCAGTTAATTCTCACCTGACAACAGACAAAAATAATGTAGAATTTCAAATCTGACAATCGAAAACATCAAATAATAAAATTCATCTAGTTTATCATGAAGTTATGAAAATTATTCAATATTTCAATTGATTTTTTCTTATTTATTTTATATTCTGGTTTGGGAATGCCTGATTTTATCTGTTGGAACTGATCTAGAAAAGGATGAAATGTTTTGTCAAGGCTGAAAATCCGGAATGAGTCACAATTGAAATTCTTGGAATTTCTGGCACGTTCTGATTAGAATCCAGATTTGTACCAATTTGTTGACGAGTGTTATAAAAGTGTCTATAAAAATTTACGTGGTGTGTTTTTTTCTGCAAACACAGTATAAAAATGTGACACTTTTGACATTATAGCGCTTTTCAAACCCTGAATTATAGTAAAAATGTTTTTCTGTAGATATGTATATTTTAGATACGGGGGTGGTGTGAAAAGTTTCCGACTTCAACATGAAGATAGCATGAAGTAAATAAAAGCTAGTGAATCTCGTTGTTTATGTGTTGACAGTTACTCACCAAAGTTTCAGCCATTTTGGACATCGTAAAGTTCACCAAATGGTGCCAGACGACCGCCGAATTAAAGTGAGAGAGATAGCAGAGATTATGAACATGTCAAAAGAACGTTTTTACATATTAAATCAACATTCAGGCATGAAACAGCTTTCCACGTAATGGGTGCCCCTGGGTGTATCTTTGTTAGGTCGTAAACTTTTCAGATCACCCTCGTATAATACTAACAAGAAAAGGGAAATGTAGCTCCTTGGAAATGGAGCATGAGCTCCTTTGGAAATAGTAACAAAAAAATTATTAAACCCTTACACAAATCTACAAAAAGTTTTACTATTGAATTTTGTTTTCGATTTGTCACTTAGTTTTTTCGAATTTGAAAATGTGTTCAGAAAGGAATACCATGAATAAAGAAAAAATATTTACGTAAACGAGAAACTCACAAATGGCATCGGCCTCCATGGGAATAACTTCACTCCACGAGGTCAGTACAGCAAAAAGTAATGGCACTGCCTTATCTCCGATGTAAAAAAAAGCCTCACAGCAAAACATTCTCATCGCCTGAATATCTCCTCGGATTCGACACACTCCCAAGAATAACCTCGTCAGAGGAATTGTCGCTTTCAACCCACAACCAGTCTTGAAGACGTGAAATTTTGTCTTGAATAAAAATCTGTTGGTCAAATTTTCCACATTTTCTTGTTCCAGTTTCAGCATCAGCGCCAAAAACATTCTTTGTGTCTTGGTCATCAGAGGAGCTGGAAAGTGTTTGGTGTCGGGCTTTTCGCAGAAGTCTTTCGAAACTTCATGTATAATAATGCTACAAGCAATATGATATAATAGAAATGTATAAAAAAAATTGTCATTAAACTTACTCCACAATAATTTCGATCTTCATCTTCTTGAACTCTGCTATGACATGATGAGGAATTTCATTTTCATTGGTAGTTTCCATCAATTTCTTCAGCAACACTCGAATTCTTACTAGAAAGTAAAGGTGGTTCATTTTCTGTTGAAAAAAAAAAGGGTGAAAAGGTGTAGCTGGAGTAAAATGTGAAACTTGAGCTCTAAAAGGTGGAATATCAAAAAAGTCCAGTTTAATAAAAGTGAAACTCTGTGCAATCTAATTTCTTTGGTATTTAAGTAATGAGTGAATATTGTCTAGTTTTTCAAATTGATATTCTTGTTACAGACTGGTTTTCCATTTTCTTCCAAGTGGGAATGGACTGTGTTGCCCAGATTCACTTTAGTGTGACCCCACTTGTCTCTTGAAAAAGCAGTGAACCTTTTGGCCTGATAGCCCCAGTAGCTCAAGCCACTACATGAAGAAGAAGAATTCAGAAGACTTTCCAGACAATTGTAACTTCAAAAATTTTACAGAAAACTTTGCTGAGTTCGTCATAGCCAGCACATTTTTTATTTTTCATTTCAGAGTACTGAATATCTTATTCCGTTGGAGGAATAGATAAAAAAGGGCATTATTGTGCCTACAAATTTAATGGCAGTACAATGAAGGAGGAAATTTTGTGCAAACTGGTTTATTGCAGCATCTTCAGCTGTGCAGCAAATAATTCCAACTCTACTTGGGTGGTCCCAGAACATTCCATGAGAATGGTGTTCAAACATGCAATAGTAACACCAGTTATTAAAAACTATATTTTGAGATGTCGTGTAACTGTGGTTAGAAAGATTAAAGATCCAGTATCATAAAAAAAGTGATGTGAAAAAAATTCAACTTTAAAAATGAAGCTCGATAAGAGTGGAAACAAACAAAATACTTACTTGGCAGGGTCATTCCTCGTTTCAAAATACCAACATTGTTCTTATCGTTGCAGTACTGCAAACCATAGGTTTCATCCCAATTCGCTTCCCTATTGTACATTATCTCGGCAACGTCCAGAATACCTTTCCTCCACTGCTTGTCTACCAAATCCTGAGGTAGATTTTTCTTTGGGGCGCTAGGTTTCGGGACACATTTCGGCCTACCCTTGTCCATGTCGCACATTATTTGGGATAAAATATCGCAACTTTCTGATCTCACACACTTCTTTGTAGGTTTTTCCTTAATGGTTTCAGACGATTTTTGTTGTGGATTTGAATCGCCAATATATCTTCCTTGTAAGTCCACAGAGGGAGCACCGTGTCCTGCTTGTATGAGAATATTTTGAACAATATTGATTTTCTTCAATATACCGCTACTGACTTTGTTTTGACTATTGCTAGGTTCTGCAGGAACTGTTTCATTCTCATTTCCTACACTTGCTTCTATTGCATCATTTTTTTTAACATGGGTCTCCAGCCTGCAGTCAAAATTAGCTGCAGGTTTGTCAGACTGGTACATTTGTTGTTTCTGTTTCATCTGTCTCATTACATTTGCTTTGAGCTTACTCATTTTTTGTTTCTTTTTAACTACCTTCTTGGTTTCCATCGGCGATAGTTGGGTAGATTCGCTATTGATTCCGTTTCCTTCATTGGCATCAGGAACTTCAGTCTTCTCTTTGTCAATGTCTTCAGGAGGATCGCTTTCTATACGACTCTGTTTAGATTCCAATTCCTCTGGCGGTTGCTTGAGCAGATATTTCTTCGGCCTCCCCCTTTTACGAACTACTTTTTCAGGAGGACCGGTTTCCTTCAACAAAGATTTTCTCCGAATCCTTGTGACCGCTGCTTCTGTGGGTTCGTTGGAAATTGTTTCACTTACTCTCAGCCTTTCACAAATTTCCTCCTCAGATTCATGCTCAGAGCTGGACGAAATTATGGCCTTGCTTAGCCGCCTTGACCTCCTTAAATTCATCTTTGTTTTCTTTTTCCTGACTGCGACGTCAACGACTCTTTCAAGAGGTATAATTTTTGTGGCAATAGAGAGCAGTGGAGCTGGGCAAACGTCCGGGGACTGAGGACAACTTAGAACTTCTTCTTCCTCGAATTTAACGGGACTTGGTTGAATATTCTCTGGAGAGTCAGGCCAGTTATGAATTTCTTCTTCTTCTTCCTCGATTTTAACGGGACTTGGTTGAATATTCTCTGGAGACTCAGGCCAGTTATGAATTTCCTCTTCTTCTTCCTCGAATTTAACGGGACTTGGTTGAATATTCTCTGGAGCCTCAGGCCAGTTATGAATTTCTTCTTCAAGTTTTATAGGATTCCGGTAGTTTTCTTCTAGCGACACAGAACAATCTGACACTTCCTTTTTAAATTGCTGTGAACTCGAAAGGTGTTTATTTGGAGAGCTGGCATAACCGAATCTGGATTTTTCTTCTGATGATTGAAGACGACTTAACCGTTCTTCCTCATCATTTAATGTTGTAACATTTAACTCTTCCAAATTTTTCGAATTACTGAAGTCTAATGGTTCTTGGGACTTTTGGGCATTTTCTGAATACGACATGATGTTCAATATATCACTTGCTGTTAGAATTGTGTCACTTGACCTCTCTTGCTGAAAAGACTGAGTTTCAGTCAAACTCTGATTCAGCTGAAATCTGGTCATAAACCTATCAATTTCTTTGGTCATCTCCTTCTCATTAGATAGAAATTTGCTGATACAAGAACTTGTATTCAAATTGTTTACGGCATTTGAATTGGCTGAATTATTTTCAATTTTTTGTAGAATTCTCGGAGTGAAATTCATATAGTTTGTTTCTCTATCTAGTTCTTGAGTTTCCATGCAATGAAAACTCGTTGATGGATCAGAGTCATCTGAGCTGAGTGGAGATTGTTTCAAATCATCTCTTTTGGATTTCTCCATTTCATTTGCAGCGCAAACAGGTTCTAATTCTTCAAGTTCTGATGATTTGTTAGAGATATTCTCTTTTGGATTGCAACAGCTAGGAAGCGAGGAGTTTTCTTCGGAAATACTCCTACGAATATTTTTACAAGGTTTTTGTTGATTAATTTCATCCAAGTTTTGAAGTAATTTCAAAGAATCCAGAAGTTCAAAAGATCTCGAACAGTTTGAAGTAGTTGAAAATGTATTATCCGGATCAGGGCTTTTTCCTGGAATTATCTCTCTGAATGGTTTGGTATGTGAAGAAAATCTTGAATCTGAATACAATACTGGACTCTGTGGTTGCGAAATTAGACTAGAAGTCTCTTTCTTGGTATTTTTATCAGCAAATAAACCAACTATACTAGAACACCCCATTTTTTCCAAGTCCCTTTGCTTTGAAACATTGAAAGGTGTCGAATTAGAGACTCCTACAGCTGGGGCACCAGTTTTCAGTTTACAATTTGCTTCTGAGCTCTCTTCCTTTGCTTCAATCCCAATGTCTAGAGTGCTACTGAGGCCTGTGAAAAGAGGTTCATTCAATTTATCTATCTTCCTTACTGTAGAAAGTAGGTCGGACGAATGTTTTAGCTTGCAAGTATTTGAAAGTTTAGATTTATCTGAACTCTTGAAATTGATTTCCTTGTTCCGAGGGGATATCGTGAAAGCATCGGTTTTTGGACTACTTTCAGGGCTGGATTTTATGGGGCTCAGGAGAATTGGAACGGGGGAGAATTTGCAAAAATCTGTACTGTCTTCGATATCACTAATTTCCTCAGAAACATCAGAAGTAACTGTGGTTGGATCTTCTTGTGGAAAAGATTCATTAAAGGGTGATCTAACGACAGATTTGGCGCCGGAATGTGCCATAGGACTCTTCTGTTTTGGGTTCATTGGGCTCATCACGTTAGGATAAACAGTTTCTGCTTTCAAGTGCTGATTTTTCAGATATCTATCAGTGAATACAGAAGTTTCGATATTACTTTTTGCATCATTTCCTTCCAAACTATTTTGGGAAGTCTTTTCCCTGCTGAGATCATACTTGGCCTTCTTCAGGAGCATCTTGTTCCTCTCGAGCACGTCACAACTGGGCTCTTCGATCAACCGCTCTAGCTCCGTCTCTGTTTCAGAGCAGAATTCGGAGTCTTGGGGCAAGCAAGTGGTTCGTTTCCTTTTTAAATTTTTGTCATTCTTCAGCTTCTCGCTCACAAGTTCTGCGAGCCTATCAAGAATATTCTCCGAGGTTACTTCGCTAATCGGTAAGTTATTCAACCATCGCAGCGGAGTGCCAGGTTTCTTATCCAAAGGTTCTCCGCCGAGCGGGGTGACGGATTCCTGCTTCACGTCAAAGAAGCCCAATAGCTTTGCTGGGCAGGAACTGCCATCCAAGGACATGCAGGCGCTCCTGCAGATCTTCGAAGGGCAACTCAGCTTTCGAATTGAATGGTTTACATTCTGCTTCGGACTGCCAACTCGTTCCCCATTCTCAAACCTGTTCAAAAAATTGTAGTCTCTCCATTGCAGCGGTACGGTGGACTCGTTCGAGATCGTGAAGTTGATTTTAGAGCGTTTCAACACCTACAAGAGAAAATTTGCATTCCCAAATTACTTTTCAATATCAACATTGATAAAAGAAAGATGAAATACAAACATTGAACAGCAACTATTCAATACACTATTGTATAGTGAAACACGTGTCGCGGTTTTTGTAAAACCCTTTTATAGTGAAAATCATACAATAAACTGTATTAATTGGTTTTAATATGGATTTTCATCAAGTATCGGCCAGTTCTATTCAATTAAAAGGAAAAATATATAGCAGTAAAGCTGTGGAGATGATTTGTCCAAAGTGCTTCATAACCCTATTTACATACTTATTCCTTTTTTTTTATTCAAATGAAATCTTGCCTATGTTTTGGGACATCCTTTACATAAATTTCTATAATTGAAGTGGACACATCGTTTTCTTGTCATTTTTATTTCAAATTTGAAATCAAGTACAGAATAGTACTGGAGGTAATGATGATATACTAAGGCTTCAGAGTCAAAAAGCTTTTAGGGAATTCCGCAGAGTTGTAAGTTATGAAGAAAAAGAGTAAAATTTTCAAATTGGTTTCCAAAGTGCATATACTTTGACCCCAAACTAACAGGTATATTTTCAAGAAATATTTTCCATTCGTCAATTAATATAACCTTATCTGAGGCACGAAGAACCTCTAATTATATTTAGTATTTACACCGAATACTGAGTTTCTACGAATTAATCTGCCATATTTTTAAGAAGTAGAACTCACATGAAAACAACAATGACAGAAGCATCAGTCATGTTTATCCATTAAATATTCCTTAAACGAAAAATAAAAATACATTTATTTGATATTCATCATCATTATTTCAATCAAAAAATTAACTTTAGTTTTAATATTTCGACTTCTTTCATTAAAGCTTGTTCTGAATCAAAACTGAATATTTTTTGTTTTGATAGTTGACGAAACAAGGGTTAAAGGATATGAAGTCGAAACTAAGGCTCAATTCCCATTGGAGGCATTCTACTCGCCAAGACCCAAGAAGACTCAACAAGTACGGTCAAATATGAAAGTTATGTTCACTGTGGTGTTGGACTTCAACAGCATAGTGCATCATGAATTCTTGCAACGAGGTCAAACGGTCAATAAGGAGCGCCCCAAGTTCAACGTGTCCACTTTATTGCTTGTTCATAAAATTTTGGCTAAAAACAAAATTATAATGATACCCAGCCTCCATACTCTCCAAACATGGCTCCCTGTGACTTTTTCCTATTTCGAAAAATGAAGCGAACTATTTTGACGACAACAATAATGTAGACAAATAAATATCAGGCTGTTTCGAGTCACACCTCTCTGACAGGAAGGAACTTGTCAAAATGAAAGAGGCCAACTCTAAATTACGTAATATTACGAGTGGCGTTCCACAAGGTTCAGTCCTTGGGCCGGTATTATTCCTATTATATATAAATGACTTAGCCAGTATTAATATACAGGGCCAGTTCACAACGTTTCCTGATGACACGACATCAGGTGGAAGGAGTCTAATTTTGAGTTATTACAATAAAAAATGGAAGATGATTTGAAGAAGGTAAAACACTGGTGCGACTCAAACCATCTCTGCTTCAATGCAAAAAAACTAGCCTTCTAACCTTCAAATACATTCATGAACCTGTGTGTGTGCTATGTGTTCCTTAAAATATGGAAGACCTGAAAAATCAGCAGTCGCCCATCATATTTTGCAACAAAACCATTCCATAGACTTCAGTTCATTGAGATTAATTAGACAAGTTAACAACAACAGGCAACTAGATGCCTATGAGAGTGTAGAAATAAGTAAACACAATAATATTATGAATAACGATGAGGGACCTATACCAAAGAGCATACTATATAGCTTGTTAAAATAAAATAAAATAATGTTGTTGGGTTTACTGATTACTACATAAGGACACATTGCAAAAATAAATTTGGATAGGCAATATTGTGAAATTAATTTTTATATAGCTGAAAATTGTTTTATATAAACATATATTGTAAAATAATAGATAAGGCAAAATTGTAAAATGAATTTAGGTTGGTATGCCTGGATGGTTTACCTGTATGAGTTACCTTTATAGCATAAATAGGATTAGCTCGCACCTCTTTGAAGATGATCACTTGGTGATCGAACCACGTGTCGAGGTGTTAAAAATAACGATTTGGTGTTGGGGAAAAAACTCCAGTAATATTTATGTTGTAAAAATGTTTGTATTTATGGACCTGTGGTACATAGAATACTATTTGTCAAATTTAATTATGTACTGACTTTAGATTATAGAAAGCTTGGCCAAATATCTTCATGACCCACAGAAACCTGTAGTATTATTTATACTGATAGCACAATTCATCATTATCTATTTACATACTTTATATATTTATAATGTATAATGCCATTGTTTTTATGTATTATTTAGCTTTTCTATTGCGTTATACCTTCTATTTTTTTATCATTAACCAATTTTAATGTATAACTGTTGCGTCTTTATTTGCAATTTTCTGTTTTTATTACTATTATTATTGTTGGCATGGAGCGACTTCTAAGGGCGCATGCTCAAAACTCAATTGAAGTATGCTTATCTATCTAAACCAGAAGAATAGAGACCTACCTACGATCTCATGCTAAGTACGCTACGTGAATCGCTATTATTTTTGCTAATTACTTATTTCACCGTGTGTGCTCTAGACTCTGTGTCATCTTCGACTGTTTGGTAACTCATTTTAACTTCCCGTTTTGTTGTACAATCCAGTGAAGCTGAAGAAAGAACACTCCAAGAAAGGGCCCTTTCAGAAGCAGGGATTTGTGCTAGGAATTCGGTGAGTTCGCTTTATGCCACAATTCATACAGTCCACTCTTGTTTTCATTTTTATTATTTTTTAAGTATTCGAAGACGCGACAATAACCTTATATAAATTTTTAAATGTATTTTTCTACTGACCTGTCTACAAACTTATGTTTCTTGAGACCAATAAAAATTATTATTAAAATCATTATTAATTGATCCTTTAGATGATTTGGTATATTGATTGACCTCGTTCTTATGTATAATGTATAATCTATTTTTTGATATATCTAATATCACTACGATCAGAAAAACAATTACTTAAACCATTATTAGTATCAACCTTACCTGTAAAGCCCTAAGCACACAATCTTTTCTGTGGTATTTCTTTGCCCCTAATTTTCTTCTTGTTTCTTTTTTGTTCAAGGGTGGTTTTCCTCGATGAAGTTTTACATAACCATTCAGATTAGGCCAATGTCTATACTTGCGCCTTCCAGGTATTTTAGATTTCCATTTGTGATTGTTACTTTCCACAGATTCAGCAGGCGTTTGTAATTTCGAGTCTATAATGTCAGGATCAATTTTCAAAGGTTGGTGCTCAACTTCTTTGAAAGTTTCAATATTTGGTTGATTCACATTTTGGTTTACCTGGTTTTGTTGATCTTCACTACTATCATCCGTTAGATGATTTTCGTCAAGGTCACAAGCAAGGATTTTCTTTTCTCCACTTTTGTCTGTTGGAATATCATTGTCAACCCCAGCAGGACAATCATTGCTTTGGGTCTCTTCTTCAGCAGTTTTGATTTCTAAAGCGATCAAGGAAGTTACATCACTTTGTATAATATTATCACAGATATTTTCTACTGAAAGGCCATCAATGATTTCAGCTTTTGTCTCATAAACTTCAGGTGTAAATGATCCCTGCTTGTCTTCTTCACAACCCTGAGGATACTCTTCAAATTTCTGCTCTTTATTAATCACAGGCGTACAAGGGGTGACAATGATGGTCGGTATTTCAACTTGTTGTACTAATGATGCGACTTCATCATCGGATTGTCTATAAGGAGAATGCCTCATGGGTGACAGAAGTCTAGGGGGCCCGGCCATTGCCTCTAGGATATCCATAAGAGACTCGTCTTCCGAATCCAGTGACTCTGTTTGAGTCCATTCACTCTTTGAGGTTTGGCTTTTATACAATTGGATTTCTCTTCTCAAGGTGAAGTTCTCCTCTAAAACAGACTTGAAATCTTCAGTTGTCTGAGTTTGGGCAGTTTTAGAAGGTACAGTGCATCGTTCCCGACTCTGACACAATATATCATTATTGAGTTTTTTGTTTTCTTCCGTGATATGTTTCAGTTGCTCCTTGAGCCCTCTCAAGGCCAAAACTTCAGCGTTTAATTTGCTTATTTCCTTATCTTTGGCATGAAGATTTTCATTGTAATGGTTTTGATTTGAGGTAATCTGAAATCGAACATGGTTACATTAGAAAATTCATCAAGGAATAATTGTCTCATATTCAAGTAACTTTTCATTTTGATATTTTCACTTTTCATAATAGAATAGCTTCTTCAAGCTAAATGAATTCTAACTACTGAGTGCTTAATATTATTAATGATTTGAATTATATGACTTTCTACTTAATTAGTTATGACTAATTTTATCAGAGTTCATGTATAAACTAATTACCAATTTAAACATTAGGAAAGAAATTTTACAAACTCATTTAATTGGACGGGTAATAAGTTGACTTCACCTATCAATTAATCATAAAGTTCAAGATTAGAAAAAAGATTCAACGAGGGGGAATTATTAAATTCTATTTGGTCGTTTAGTGAATGTTATGAATTCTTGAATCTATTGATTTTCAAGCCTTCTAGAAAATTGAGTTTCAAACTTTTTTTTCCAAATGTCCTTCTGTCAAACGAAGGTTTGCAAACATGGAATTGGTTTTTTACATTCAAGGAATTATTCAGATAGTCTTCTGTTCATTAGGAAGAGGTTCTTCCCGTTTGGCGAATGTGTACAAAATGTTGGTACAACATGTTATTACACAAGAAGTGATTTTTTGAAGTACTCTATGAATGCTCAGATGCTACATGAATCACAGAAACCGTGATCACTTGAAATTCTTACTCCCTTTTTTTAATTTTAAGAACTTTTTCACACCTGACCTGTGAGAATTACAAAAAATTTTTAATTTCAATACTGACATATCTATATGACTGTTTTCTTATTATGTTTTCAGAGTTCACTATGAATATTTCTAGTAGGCAGTGCAGATTTGTGCAGTTTTCAAGTGAATAAGATTGTATGTTACAGTTGGAAAAACTAGGAAATATAGTTTTTTAAGGAAAGTTCTTTCCTCTCAGACACAAATTGTATAGTATAAATTGCATAGCTCACCTGTAACTTCATTTTATTTAGGTCATTACTCAGTTGTAGTTTTTCCCCTTGTGACAACTGTATCACTTTGGAATGCTCATCTTTGATTTTATTCATGCCTTCGGCAAACTCTTTTCTTTCCAACTCTAGTTTTTTCTTTGCTGTTGCTTCACTCTCCTTGAGATATTTTATATGTTCTTCCATTTCGTTGATTTTTTTTGAAGAATCATCATTTTCAGGAGAAACTTTCTTCCTAGGGGGCGAAGATAGTTTCTCAGCCCCCTCGCTCAGTTCTTTCATCATTCTCAGTTCATCCTGTAATTCTAATATCGTCGATTGACACTCTACAATGTGCCTACTGTATTTTTGCTCCAACAAAACCTTTTGCTGTAATGTCTGTTTGCATTCCAATTCAAGTTTGTCGTGCTTGGAAGTAATTTGTTGTAGATTGAAGGTACACCTACCATTCTCTAACTCGAGACGGCTGAAACCGCTGTTAACCTCGTCGTATTTGGATTTCAAGTCCTTGTAGGCTTGCTGTGTTTTTTTAAGTTTTTTATTACTTTCCGAGTACATCTTAAGTATTTCACTAGAAACAAAAAATAAAAATACCGTTGAAACACTAAATTAACTGATTTACTTACTCAGTTTTGATTATTTTCTGTTTAATAACAGAAAAATTTACTTGTTTGGGCTCCATTAGATAAAAAAATACCTAACCCTATTTCAGGAAAACAAATGATTTATTCCATTAGTATGCTGAAAATTACACAAATCAGATAATTATTTAAAAAACTAATTAACTTAAACCTTTGTGATTAGGATTATAATAATATACTTCAGTCCCGAAAACATTTTAAAACCGACAACAATAACCTAAAACTAAGCACATTTCTTCTTCACTTTCTGTCTCTAATTTCTATTACCATTGCTTCCGAGCGCATTTGGCCAAGGTCCTCATGACAATAGTGAATAGAAGCTTCGTCCGGGGGCGCAGCGGTCGTGCTCGAGGCAATGCTACCACCCTGAGTTTATTCATTCGCTTTTTTCTTTTCCTCCTTCGCGAAAAAAAAACATTCATCGTTTCTCCAGTATTTGATATAAATCAATTTTCATCGACCTTTTTTGAGTATTTACATCTTCCACAATCTGAAATATATGAAAGTATCACGGAGAATTGGTACACGTGTTGAAGTTACTGCGTGAATTCAAAAGTATTTTTCACAATAAAAGTGTTCTATTCATCAATAACTTGTCATATTTAATAATTTTGCCTTTCAAAAAAATAGATAAGAAATTATACAATACCTAACGTTTCGGAGGCTAAAATCTGCCTTATTCTTCAGATATGGAAAAAATTTAAGTTCATAGGCAGTTTTTTCTTGGCTGATTATTTTCATCTCTCTACTTCTTCGACAGATAATAATAATAATATATGGTCTTCATTTTACTTGGCGAAGTTTAGCATACATAGCTATTCTTCAGATATCAAACATACATCTCTCAGACACTTAAATGTCTGTTTAAACGTAGAACTGTCGTCCCATTAATGTATTTGCTATTTTGTCAAATTAAAATTTGCTTCTGACTTCTGACATATGGTGTTCTATGTCAAATGATTCTATTGTACTGTTTCTGTGGTTCAAATGAACTAAAATATATTTTTGCAAATGTAAATGTCAATTATTTGACTTACTTTACTTTCCAGAAATCAGATTTCACTTGTACACCGAACAGCGAGTTGAAAGGTTAAAATTCCAGTATTCATCATGAACTCACTACTTCGTCACAGTCATAGAGTATCCAATAGAATTATTTCTGTAGCTACTAGGTGCATTGGAACTTCTCAATTCAGGTATGCCTCGTTCAAGGTCCAAGATGATAAGGATTTTTTGGAAAAAGTAGAAAACAGTAAAGAGCCCATTATCGTGGATTTTTTTGCCAAGTACGTGTTTCCTAATGTAAGTACTATGTGAAATACTAAGTGACCTTCACTTTCAAGTTGGTGCGGACCCTGCAAAGCCCTAGAGCCCAGGTTGCAGAATGTTATTGCACAAAGAAAGGGTCAAATCTCATTGGCTAAGGTGGATATCGACGATTTAGGGGAATTAGCTGCTAAATATGAGGTACTGTGTCAAAATATCTTGGCGAGTTTCACAGTCAGTAACTTTTGGTTTTTTCCAGTATATAACCTTCCACTTCAGCAGATTTTCTACTGATTATGCTTTGTTGTCTATTTTTCAGATTGTGGAACGTTATATACCTAAAAAACAGCAGGAAATATTGAGTCCTCTACAAAAAATTGTCTTTCAAAGAATATTTTAGTTTTTTTATTTTAGGTGAGCACTATTCCTGCTCTAGTGGTGTTTGAAAATGGAAAAGCCAAGGAAAGGTTGATTGGATTACAAGATGAAGACAAGTTGAATCTCTGGATCGACAGGATATTGAAGAAATAGAAATTTGATAATGATTTGCTGGTTGTAAATAAGTGATATATTTAATTAATGAGATTTATTAAATTAGTGATGATGAAATGAAAAATGGCTTGAATCAATTATATCTTACACCTTTAATACAAGTGCTCGATAAAATAGCAATAAAATGTTAGTATCCCGTTGAACAATGTTTATGTTAAAGTTGAAAAAAAAGATATCCATTTTTATATTTTATTTACCTAAAATTTACATGTTATTCATCTTTATTTAAATATCACAGTTGAAAGTATACCCGATTGAGCAGTTGCTAATGACTGCTCTTGTGAGACTTTTTCTTCTTTTTTTCATGCCTTTGTTTTTCTTTCTTCTTACTCTTCTTTTTGTGTTTACTCTTCTTTTCATCTTCTTTCTTTTTTTCCACCCAGTCATCCTCACTGTCACTACAAACTATCCTTACATCTTTTGGATTGTTGATGATGAGTCTCCCTGTAGGTAATCTGGGGCCGTACAAGGGTTCTCGATTGGAGTTTGAACTGCTTGCAGAGATTCCCTCCGAAGAATGTTCTACAAGCGGTGAAATAATTTCTTCAACTTTTGGTTCGACAAAGGTATTGAAACTCAATTTTGATAAAATTCCTTCTTTTAGAGGTTTAATTTTTGGGAGTAGTTGCTCCGATAATACATTTTGCTTGAACTCCTCAGTCTTATCAGTTTCAATATCTTCATTTGCATCGTTGGCTTCCTCATCTTCCGACTCGCTGCTGCTAAGAAAAACAGCCTTGAACAAGTCTGTTTTCTCGGCAATTCCAATTCGATCTGTGATATCTTTTGGAGCAGAGTCTGTTTCTTCTTCCTTCACTTCGTTTTGTTGTTCTTCAATGTTTTCGATATTTTCAGTTTTAATCTGAAGAGGAGCTTCGGGAATAGAGTTTCCTTCTATTTCTTCAGTTTCCTGTTGCTCCTTTTGAAGCATGGAAGATTCTCCAGAAATGCCTGGTTTGAATAAACTACTGTCTTCATCTGTGTCCTTCTGTTGTTCAAAAATGAGGTTCCTTACTCTTTTTTTAGGTTCCTCTTGCGGTCTACTGCAAAAGATATAAATAAATTGATATGTAACAATAGTTTTGAATACAAATCTTTTAAAGAGAGAAGTTGAAAGAGTATATAAGTTATTTTAGTTCAAGATTTGAATATGATCGACTGTATGAAAAATATATTTGAAAAAAATTACAAAAACTACATTTTCTATACAGACTTAGTAATTAAGTATCAAAATATCACAATATATAAAAATTATTAAATACAAGTTTGAATTTACACACTAACCTATCAGGCTGAACTAAAAACTTTGCCTTTTCTACAAGTGTTTAATTTTCCGTTACAATTTTCAGATTGTGGAAGGTGAAATCACTTAAAGAAGTTCGACAAAAAACTCTGATTTCCTCCACAAAAAAAATAATTAATGCAACATAATTATTTAAACGCACCATATTTTAATTATTGCAGTACAATTTTAATAATGTCCTCATTTTTAATCCGTTGAAATTATCCCCTAATACTATTTTCCCAAAAACTAGCGATTCCATCTCACCTGGCAAGCAGTGTAAGTCACTCAGATCAATCCTATACAGGATTGCTGTAAATCATGCTTATTATATTGCTGTAAATCATGCTTATTATATTGCTGTAAATCATGCTTATTATATTGCTGTAAATCATGCCCTAAAGAAAATAACGCCGGCCGCCACTGGTAGCCATAAACCAATTGTGACGTAGCTAAGAGCACGCGAATTTTTAATGTTCGCTGTCGTTCTAGATGCGGAGAGAATAATACTACCGGCTTCAATGGAATTCCGAGGAATTTTCCAGCGCCTTCGATTGCCAAATATAAACACGATCCACTCACCTATCGAGACAATCAAGTGGAAGTGACAGTGCGGTACATAGAGCAATCTAGTACGGCGATAGACATTCGAATAATAGTTGAAATTTAAGTTAAAGTGTTTTGTTGTATTAAAAGTGAAATAAAATTGACTTTAATTTTTTTTTTCAAAAACTACACCTCACGATTTGATCTTCACAAAGTTTCTTCACAAAGATGTGAAGTGTAGTTTTTGAAATTACTATGGATCAATCAGAAGACTAATTATTGTTCAGTGAAGTCAATTATTGGTAAACCCACGGGAAAAACGTAACAATATGTATCCAATAAGTCAGCTTCATCATCAGTTCTTGGGGATGTGCCAGGAAGTTTTTGTTGCAGCCAAAAGACTAATAAGATTGATTATTAATATAGGTTTCCAAGATATTTGTAGAACAAAAGATAGCCTCTTTCAGTTCCATATTTTTCATTAAATGCTTCACTTCAGCCTATAAAGATATCAATATATTTTCCACAAATTCGGATATTCATGATAGAAAGGCCATTTTAGATGCTTCTCATTAGCGCATTGTTAGACTAATTTTCAGCATTGAACACCGAGACAGCTGTAAACCAGTATTCGTTAGGGAAAAATTGTTACCGGCTCCCTCCATATACATTCTTAAATGTATAGGATTTGCTAGATCTAACATCCATGAACTAGAAACAAACGCAACGGTGCACAGTTACAACACACGTCATGGTGATGTTTTGCGTATTCCAAGTCATAAGTCAACGAAATATAAAATATTAATATAAATTTCTGTGCTGTGAATGTTCAGTTCACGGAAATATATCAATTGCTTTTTTTGTAATGTTGTGCTTAATGTTTGTATTTCATTATGACTTAGCACATGTAGCCGGAGTACCAAATCTATATTCCATTTTGTAATAACTTTATTGATAAATGAATATTATTCCTATTGAACTACTTCGAGGTACTTACTCTACGAATGGTTCGGGAACGTTGAACCTCTTGCAGAGAATCGCACAAGGTCGCCACTCCAAAGTCTCCCTGGTTAACGGACCAAACATCTTCATCCTTACTGCTTCTCTCATATCCGCAGTTCCATACGTTGTTTCTGTCTGCTGTTCTGGTATCTGGGCGTCAGACCCTTCTGCCTTAGAAGATGCGGGCACGAATCTATCAACGAGAAGGGAGGAAACATCAAAAGATCGCCTTGAAGAGATGCTCTCTGGGCCTCTGATGCTCGTGCTAGGCACTGGAAGGTCTCTGGCTAATCTAGAAGGGGTATACGCTTCTTGGACCTGCTCTCCAAGATATCGGGCTCGAATCTCGGGGTTTATGCTGTGGCGATCGATCTCTTCCTTTACTTCTACGACTGGTTCAAAACGAGATTTCTTTATCTGAAATTGATTCAGGGTAACTAACTTGGAAATTAACTTGATGTAATTTAAATGAGGTTTTCACCTTGAAGTAAAGTATAAAAGAAATAATTATTTATGAATTTCATTGTGCAGTATTGTAAAAATACCATAGAAATATATCTGCTGGTGATGATATAAACGAGCCACACTATAATACACGTCAAGCTAACTTGATCAGACTTCCCCTGCCCACAACAACAATGGTGAAGGACTCATTGATATACAATGGAATAAAGATGTACAACAAAATTCCCATATACCTGAAGAGTTATTCTTTGAATATTTTTAGGAAAAAATCAAGCGACATTCTGATTGATAAAGCCTGTTATAGTTTTAATGAATTTTACAATGACAATGCTTTTTATGAATTATAATTTACCACTGCATGTCACTATAATATAGCATATTTTTTTTAAGGAAATTTTTTGAATTTTAAATTGTATAGCATTTATTTTGTTTCATGAAAATGTATTTAACACCCTATTTTATATAAATGGGCTTTTAGAAATTACTTTTATACTACTTTGACATAGTTCGTAATCGTTTGTCAACAAGAACTCTTTCTTAGGACAATAAACGTATTAAAGGATTTGGAAAAGCTGAATACACTTATTTGAATTAATGAATTGAAGAGGTTTTGTATTAAAGTGTATAATATTTTAAAATTCCTGCAAAGCGCTTTCGACTTTCGTCATCATCAGTGCTCACTTGTCAGGCAACAGGAAGTATCAAGATAAGTGAATTGTACATTGTAATATTTGAATTATATAAAACAAAATAGGCTTATAGCCAATAAAATACATTTTTGGATCGAGGCCACGTGGTTCAGTCAAAGTAGTCGTCTTCATAAGATACTTTGACTAAACCACATGGCCTCAATCCAAAAATGTATTTTATTGGCTATAAGCCTATTTTGTTTTATATAATTCAAATATTACAATGTACAATTCACTTATCTTGATACTTCCTGTTGCCTGACAAGTGAGCACTGATGATGACGAAAGTCGAAAGCGCTTTGCAAAAATTTTAAAATATTATACACTTTAATACAAAACCTCTTCGATTCATTAATAAACGTATTTCTCTCTCTCTCTCTCCCAATGTGGGCCAAAGCGAAAGCCATCAGTTATATTCTTACCTTATGTTTTCCACTAAAACTGTGAGGTATCGTTGGTGGGGGGTATAACTTTTTGGAAATTAATGGGGCTTGATAATGCTTGAACATGCCATACAACAAATCTACATGACTATGAACTACTTTCTTATCTTCCTTCTCCTTTCTCAACTCAAAGTCGTAGTTACTCATGTCTTCTTTCATGTAAATATCATCATCTTCATTTTCGAATGCCCCCACGCCAAATGCTTGGCCTCCGATTGAGAATTTCTTGTTGTTTTTGTCTCTCACAACTAGATTCGAATTTGTGAATAAGTTGATGTGAGTCCTGTCCAAGCCCTGGTAACCTAGCCCGAAGGTGTTTGCTTTTGGTTTCTCTAAAAATTCTTTGTAGATATCTGGGACAACATACTGTCTGTTTTCTATTTTCTCGGGTATTTTATACTGCTCTGGCATTTGGCATCCGTAAACTTTCACGTTTACAGTACCAGTTTCTTCCTGTTGCTTCTGAACTTTGTCTTGGATTCCTAGATTCTTCATCAGTAAGTATCCAATGGTTTCGTTTCCACTTGTAAGTAAGGTTTCCAAGACCGGTATCCCTGGAATTGGGCCATCTGAAAATACCTGAAAAATAACAAATGTAAAGTTTACACTTTATCAATTTTTGTCAAAAATGAAATTATTCCTTACATATACTTATTTATCATTTAACATTTAACGACTCCACTTGGATAGCAGAGCATGTAAGCCACTCTTCCTTGATCAGGAAATATTAACCTTACGTTCATTATTCATTTTGGAAACAGCAGACTGATACATAGAACCAAAAGTCAATATTAATCAAAAAATTGTCCCAACACCAGCTCTACAGATAGCCTTAGTCTGCCTATACCTAAATATAGTTTGATAAAAAAGTTGTTCATATACAGTGGTATAAAAAGCCAATGCAACTGCAACCTTTCTTCATCAAGCTTGTCACATCAGTGTATGGCGGCTTCAAAGTATACTGTCGCACTATAGTTTTAATTTTGCGATAACTGTGTGTCAGATGTCATACACCATCGTTTAATTTCGCAGACAATATCAAATATAGTGTAGTTGACAGTACAAATTAATAAATTGATGGATGTAGCCGTTACTACGTGGTAGGAGATCATGATGAAAAGAGAAATGAAAATTTCAGTAACAAACGTTACTGCAGTTTCGTCCTATATGGACATTCTCAAACTTGAACAATAAACTCAAGTTTGAGAATGTCCATATAGGACGAAACTGCAGTAACGTTAGTTACAGATAAAAGTGGTAAAAAACATAGAAATTGTCATTCCTCTTTTTATCGAAAAAATTAATGTTACCAAAAAAGAACACTCTCAAAAATTGTGAACTCTGTTGAATATTTTTATGAAATCAAAAACATCAATCTTCCATTGAACAATAGCATTCAGTACTTGTAAGTTTTGTTTAATATAAGAAAATATGCCATACAAGTTGAATGCTCACTGAGATGGATGTTTTGTGATTTGCGATTCACAATAAAAATGCGAAAGTTGTGGAAAAATTTTTAATTGATATTAATCTATAGGTAACTGAAATCAACCATTCATTTCTACAAGAATATAGCACTAAAAATACCTGCTTGCGCCTTTTTTTAGAGGTGGAATAATCATCAGTAGCTCTGACTGTCTGGGGTGCTATCCCATACTCGCCAATGTCTTCTTCGTCCATGAAATCTTGCGGTTTCTGGACAATGCTCTTAGCCTTCTCCTGGCGAGTGCTCTTGAAGTCGCTCGGTGTCCATCCTTCGAGGGATCCGACGGTGTTGAAAAATCCCGCTGAGAAGCCCCCTGTGAAAGCGCCATGAAACCTCCGTCTGCCTTGTGCGTCCGTGGCGATTTGCTCCTCTAGGGCAATGGGGCGCTTTTTCGGAAAGGCATCTGTAAATCATGGCTTGATAAATCAATTTTTTCAAGAAATATTGGATAGCTCATTTACCAAACTGTTACTCCTACTCAAGAAAATTGTCACAATGTAAATAAATGGTAGCATTCATACACCAATATATTAAATCAGAATGTTTGTGTATGAATTAGCCATATAATATTAGCCATACCTTCATCATAAGGGTCCAACGGTTTTCCGAAAAAACAAAAATTTTCTTCTTCGCTCTCTGACATTATACAATATCTTCAATAAATTTACGATTAAATCGAGAACGATGAAAACATTTCATTTATTGATAAACATCTTTTACTTTATGCTTAAATAATAAACACTGAACCTCCAAAAGGTTAAAATGTAAAAATTAGTATTTCTCAGGGTTACTATTTACATTTACTACTATTTTGGGGGTTTAGCCACAGAACACCCTATCTATATAGGGTGTTCTGTGGTGTAGCGAAATGTCATCATTTACGATTGTTCTGTGATTGACATTTGTGGCCAAAGAGTACACCAACTGGTGTATCTTTGTTTGTTGCTGCATATGGCGGACACTGACATGTGATTGGTCGAATTCAGTATTCAATGATACTGAATCGTTGTGAGCCCTTGTTGAAATTTTTAATATTTATATCTATATAAAATGAGATTTTTCAGTTTCCGAAGTATCGAAAGAAAGATGATTGTAGTTGAGTTTCCAGGTTATGGTGAAGAAGGTGAGTGTGCCAGAATCACGCGTACCATCGCCGGGAGGCACAACACGCCTGGTATATTTGAATAATAATGTCAAATTGGATAGAATATGTCTTGGTACAATGGGGAATGTTCCTCAATTTGGGTTATTACAGCAAATGCAAGTTTGAACAAAATAAAGTTGAGTTTAATTCATGAGTTTTACAAATTCACTTCGAAAAGTATTCAAATTGATGTTTCAAATGTTGGGTTTTAATTTTTTAAGGGATTTGTTTCTAATACACATACTGGCAACAGCACCTATATCAAGTTGAAATAATTTATACTGACCTAGATATTCTACTTTAAAAAATGAAAATTATCCTTATAAATCAACAATTAAGGCAAAATATAACTTATAGTTCAATACCACCTCCACAAGCCACAAACAACAGTTGTTTTGTTATTTATTTATATAGAGGAAGATAAGTTAGGTGCACAAAATGTCATATGTCACAGAATGTCTCGGAACTCGGAACATAAGTAAACAGAACAGCACGCCTCTGAAATATGTCATCTTTGTTTGTCTCATACAGGTAACAGATTCATTGTCCTTTATTAGCTATAACCGATGTTGCCAAATGATGAAATAGAAACGAATCCCTTATGAATGCATTATTTCATTCCTCTTTTTTAAGTATTTAAATAATTTTTTAAAGAAAAAGGTTGAAATGATAAGTTTGAAATGTTGTTTTAGAGTTCTTTTATGAAAACTACTTGATTTTCGTCAGGAGGAACATTCCCCATTACATTACTGAATATGCAAAAGCAAAATTGAGAAACGATATGGTTAACTCATTGAAAATAAAGAAAGTTCAGTATTATTATTAACAAAATACTTATGATGCACTGTTTGGAACCTTTGGTGTAGTAATGAATATAACTGGAGTTTTTTCCCAACACCAAATCGTTATTTTTAACACCTCGACACGTGTTTCGATCACCAAGTGATCATCTTCAAAGAGGAAGACTAAAACTGGGAAAAACTCCAGTAATATTCATTAACAAAATAGATAGATACAAGAATAGTTCTCATTTGATGTGGAAATCCTTAAAAAACCCTTGTTAACACTTCCGAACCTTATCCAATTTGAAGGGGTAGTAAGTACTAAAAAATGTGAACCTGACATCTCACTGCGAATCTGTCGTCATTGTGTACATCACCCACAGCCAATTTTTAAGAAACAGAAACTCTTTGGACGAAATATGTATAGTAACAGCAACGTATCCAGGTGCAGATGGTAATTCACAAGTGATCGATGTAAAAACAAATATTGCTACATACAGAAGACCTGTTACCAAACTTTTGTCTTTTAGGTGTTGATAAACATGAAGAATAGTGATAAATAAGTTTTCATCACTGGATGGGAGTGTTCCTGCTGAAGTTTAATTTGATTTTTTTTGTATTCGTTTTACTTTTGTTAATCTTGATCATTTAATTTTATAGTATGTTTGTGATAGTTTTACTGTTTGACCCTGTATGAAAACAATTGAGAGTGTAATATATAAAGAAAGTGTTGTTGACAATACGAAAAATTACCTTCTCACTTCTTTGTATCAAACAAAAAAAGTCTTGACCAAGTTGAAAAGTAATACCAAGTCAGATAAAGGAAATTTCCAGCTAATTCAGAATTTATTTTGAAAGAACAATCCCTGAAAAATTAACTTTACGCCTCCTGCAGAAAAATGTCCTACTGTAAATCTTTTACTGAACAAAAAAAGAACTATTCAAAATAGGTAGAATTAAGATACTCGTTGAATGAAAAATTCTTCTGTTTTTGTTTCCTTTTCAGGGATTTAGTTATATTCTCTTAGTTTTATACACTAAACTAATGATAACAGTTTCATAACAAGTTTATATTACACAATTTTATATATGTATAGAATAGTTCAAAAACAAAATTGAATATTTACATGAAGTAAATACTAGAATTAAAAACAAATAGGATCTATATTGAGCATAGAATTAAATTTGAAAGCAAACATATTTGAATATGTTACATTCATTTACTTGCCTATGTACACACTAATACTGTCAATTGACAATATCATTCATCATCATACACATTGGAGAGAATAAATAAATTTCTCATTTAAATGATGCAACAAAAAACAATAGAAAAATTATAGAAAAAAACTGCAAAACAACTTTGTCTATAAAAATATATCCTGCGTATGACAACATGACAAAGTCAACATTCCTCATTTCAACCATTACAAATGTTTTCAAATTCCTGTTATAATCTTAATGTACTTGACTAGCTCAAGTTGACTGCTGCACCGATCCTTTTATGTGTTAGAGGAGTAAATACGTCCACGTTTCGTATATTGCCCTCTAAATTGTTAGCATAAATATCAGCAGGCAGTTCGTCCATTCCAATTTCTTTATCAGATACGGATTTCTTAGTGGCCTCGTCGATCGATGCCCTTATTTCACCATCAATTTTCTGAAACAAACATTTATTGCTCCAAACACTAAGAATAAAGAATAAAATTATGTTTTAGTAATTAATTGGAAAGTATTTTTCAGGGAGAATTGGAACCTCTGGCTTAAAATGTATCACACTTCCCACATCAGCACAAAAATCAGGAGATGACTAAAGCTGTCACCTGTCACCAACGAAGCCATCATCTTTTCTTGATGATGCTAACTTGGTTAGCAAAATGAGTGTCAAAAACAGTGCGAGAAAAGTGTTTTCAATAGAATCAATAATAATATTTCAAATTATGTTACCTTTATTTCTTCCGGAGTTGCTAAGTTGGAGGCGATAATTTTTTCTTTGAAAGACGTAATAGGATCTCTAGTTTGTCGAACCTCTTGAATCTCATCTCTCGTTCTGTAACTGGTGCCTGGATCAGACATGGAATGTCCCGAATATCTATGAAATGATAAAATATAAAGATGAAAAAAAAACATCATCACACAAAAAGGTACAAAACTCACTTTTAAGAAACAATTATAATAATAACTATAGAAATGTATTGAAGAGTGTTTCTACCAGGAGGTCGTAATATAGTCTAGTAAAAACACACTGTTGTAATAAGTTTTGTTGTAGTCATAGAAACATTTGTTAATGATTAAAAACATCTTTTACAGTGAAAAATAGGTAAAATAACAACAAATAGCTCATAGTTTATTTAAAATTGATAAATAGTTGAAGTATATTTCCTTAGGCAGCAGAGTAATAAATTATTTTTGGGTGTCTGTTCCATGAGCATACATAATTAAAATTGAAGACTGTTTCGAGGACAGATATATACATACAATAAAATTAATATTTCGAAATTCATGAATGTATCTCTTCTTGATACAGTCTTCAATTTTGATTTCTGTCAGTGTTTTGGTACATGGGATGTTTCTTCCCAGCTTGGGGCTTTGTTCACAAGATGGGGTCGTTACTAGTTAACAATCTTTTTCTCCGACGAAGGTTTCAAATATGAAGCGAGCCGTGTTGAAATTAATCAAGTCCCAGACACTTTGCTGTCTGGGTAGAATGTTTCCTGTACTGACGAGAGGTAATGCCTCAAAACCGCAGTCTGCAGGTGATCGACTTGAATAATTTCAGCATGGGCCTACTGCTGGATGAATGAAAAACATCTGCGAGATTAGCCTCTGTGGGGAGTCTTACATGACTGTCTGTCAGATATAATTCAATATCCAGCGTGGTGTTAGCCACGACAGAAGTTTACCACACCTTACTGTAGGTAGTTGGGAGAGATATTATTTCGAAATTTATTTTGAAATATTTATTTCCTTATACGTATCTCTCCCCGATAGTTTTCATTTTTGATTTCTATTAGAGTTTTGGTATATGGGATGTCTTTCCTGATAGGGGCTTTGTTCACGAGATGGAGTTGTTACTAGTTAACAATCTATCTCTTAGACGAAGATTTCATGCATGCAGCCGAGCCACGTGGAAATTAATCGAGTCCCAAGCACTTTGCTGTCTGGGTTCTATATAAATGAATGAACATTGTTATCAGTTTTAACAAGTATTTTTGATTAAACACCCAAACGTACTCCACTGCAGATGGACCAGACCAGAACGCTCACAAAATCTATTGTTTGCCGTATTAAAATAACATGGACCATGTAAAATGTAATGAACCGGCCTATACCAGTTGTGGCATATCATAAGAAAATCACAAAATTCTGTTGGAGTTCTTTGTTAGCGTTTTGCATTTATATGAGCGTTTATTACTTTTTAATATTAAAAAACAGAGCATGAATTTAAGAAAGATTATACTTCATTTCTTTCTCAAATAGTCGTAATGTGTGCTGAAAATGAGTGTTTCATTACACAAGTGATTAAATTCATCGCATAACGAATGAAATGGGGATTAACTCATAAAATTGGATCTTGCTGTAGGTACATAGAAACTTAGTTTATTTCCGCTATTTGAGAATTGTATGAAGCCATACTGATGATATTTTAGCTAATCATTTCACTCAGATAAATGTTTGATGGTTCAAATGAATATTTTGCAAGATTCAATAAAAATCCCAAATCCCTATTCAAACACATATAAGTCCTGTGCCAAATAATGTGAATTATGGTATCAATCAGTATCAAATAAGGCAATAGGGCCTGTAAACACTTATGTACTACAGATTAATTTTTTTCATTGATATTCTTTCAAAATTCATCATAGCAACTAATATAAATGAACCTTTACGTGCCTTATTTCGGAGCTTGAGTTGTAGGTTACAACTTTGGATAATTTAATTAAATATTTGTTATCTGTAAATATTTGTTGAATCTATAAATTGTTTGCAATGCCATTTCTACAATAATATGAACATTTTCAAATCAAGATCAACTGATAAATATTGCTATTCTTTAGATTAATTTCAAAGGTGTTGGTGTTTGTTCATTATGTCATCTCATATAATTTTACCTTGACATTTTTCCTATAGTATATAGAGACATATATGATTTTGTACTTTTTAACAAATGAATGAATTTATATTACCATTATTAAGAGCAAAAATGATATTATCATTATTATTATAAACAAATGTCACCTATAGGTAGCAGCTTCAATAACCAGTGGCCCTTTTCCAGTGCTGCAATAGTTCACGGCATATCTGAAACATTCCCTAACGGCCAAAACATCCATTCCATCTACCCAGATTCCGGGAACGTAGTCTCCCCTCGAATAGAAGTTAGTGCTAGCAGCAGCCCTATCGGCACTTGTCCCCATACCGTATCCGTTGTTCTCACACACGAAAATGCAGGGAATGTCCCACAGCTTGGCCATGTTATAAGCTTCAAAAACTTGGCCCTGGTTGGCGGCCCCGTCTCCATACAGAGCTACACATACTCCATCTGTGCCTTTGTACTTGGCAGCTAGGCCAATGCCCACGCCTAAAGGAACCTGTTTTTTTGCATATTCATTATTAACCCCTGAGATGATATACAAGATCTGCTGACTTTACCTGAGCTCCTACGATACCATTTCCCCCATAAAAATTATCACCGTACATGTGCATGGAACCCCCTTTTCCTCTTGCACAACCACTTTGTCGGCCACATAATTCGGCCAGTACTCCTAAAGGTGAAACACCCATAAGGTAGGTCCATCCGTGAGCTCGGTATGCAGTTATAACGCTATCGTGAGGACGTAGAGCAGCTTTTATGCCAACCGCTACTGCCTCCTATTTGGTTAAAAAAATTGTATGAATGCAAATTCTTGGAATGACTCGATTTCACTTACCTGCCCAGAATAAAGGTGGCAAAATCCCCTGATAATTTTGTCTTTGTATAAATTACCAGCTGCAGTTTCCATTCGGCGAATGATATTTAACTGAGTGTAAAATTTGATGGCATCTTCTTTTGTCAAAGTTACACTGGTGGAAGGGGCTTCTTCAAGTTTATGTAATCGGTAAGGCTGAAAATTAATCTAATAGTACCGTTACCTAACAGGGTTTTGAATCATGTATTTGACCCCTTCATGAAGAAAAAATATGTTTTTTGTTTTTCAACTAATTTAGTGATCAATATTTCTCGACAGATGATTGTCTAAAAACCTCTAGTTTATTTTTTTCACACACGGGGACACATTTTCTATATCTTACCTTAGTTTCGAAAGTAGCTTCACTAGCATAATTATTTTTGGCGAACAGTCCCAAGGTTTTCTGAAAATGTAATGGGAATTGAAAAATCAAAGAATCAAGTTAAACATAATAGAGTTGAAAAAATACATTTCTTTACATTGATAAAATTCGTAAAACGGTTTGCCATAATAAAACCTCCCAAAAAATTTTTCTCTTCCAATGACTTCAATTTGACCTTGGGAGTTTAACCACTTATAATAACCCTAAAATTTTGTTCAACTACTCACTTTGGATAAAATTGATTTTTTACATGTAGATCGGATACGTCCTAGCAACATGATGAATATATTGCAAATAGTTAAAAATGTATATAACCTTAACTCTTGGACTTAACACAACGTCCTACACCTAACCCTAAATCCTAAATGTACCAATGGTCTGTGTCTGTGGTACCAACTACCAATCAGAGTTACTGAAGTGAGCCGACAGTATATAGTATATACAAGAATACGCAGAAACCTTGATGTTTAAATAATTCGCTTCTGTTTCGTCAAAATCTCTCGACGTGAGAAATGAGATTAGCCCAACTTTGTACATACGTTAGTAGATGGAACAAGAATCGTTTCCAAATGTAAACTTCGGTGTGTGCTTAGCGCCAATGTGAATGAAATGTCAAAGTACGTTGGGTCTATGGGTCTCTTTATTTTATGAAGAATCAAGAGCGCCTTAGATCTAGTATTTTCGTTAAAATATTTCACATAGAGAGGGGTCCAAGTGATTACACCATGGTATTTCAAGCCATCTACATACCAATATCAATTTTCTTGTAGAAAGTTTACCAAGAGTTGTCCATCTTCGGACGCGAAATTAACATTGAAATCTCCGGCTAAAATTAGTGGCAACGTATGATAGTTTTCTCCTAAGAATTCTTCAGAACCTACTCGACCGTAAATGTGTGTTAGCACCTCTCTCTCTCTTGCCTCTACAGTAATATACGAAACATAACTCTCTCTTTGTATCTTCACTAACTTATCCTCCTCTCAACTTCCGTTCGCCTCGCCCGGTCACACTTTTCGTAACGCTCTCGTCACTCGTTCACCAGCTTACTCCCCAAGTCAAGCGCGCGTAAAGAAGTTTTACTTCAAATTTCGAAAATTTTGTTTTAACATTCTCTGTGGAATATGAGAATGATGTAAATTTATCATTTCTTTAAGAAAAATTGAATATTTGGAAAGTTATTAGAGACAGGACTAAACTGTTACTTTCTAGATTATAGAATTAAGACCCTTTCTCTTATTTTTTTAGTGATGTGAGTTAACTGAAAGAAATAATTCAAACCTCCTGCGCAAAATAAAATATAACTGGTGTGATCACTTTGAATATTTTGCCAAAAACTCTTAATCAACGGCACCTATAAGTTTCAGCCTCCCATTCACAGAGGTGCTGAATACACTTAAAAGTGACACTGCTTGATAATGTCAAATTGGTTCTCCAACTCTCAAAGTTATTTATATTTGGGTGAAAATTGATATTGACAGATTTTTCACATTATTGTCCAGAAATTGAAAATCTGAATGAAATACCAGCGACGGATTTCGATTGTTGCTCCTCCATTTATCAACATGTCGCGTACATTTTAATCAAATTTTTCGCGCCGAGAGTTTTTTTGACATAAAAATGCGAATCGTTCAACAGGGTTTAAACCCTGTTGCTGAGCCACAACAAAGCATAAAACCTTGTTATGCTGTGCCACAACATAGCATAAAGCCTTATGCTGCGGTTCTGGATGTCAGACACCAGAAGAAAAAAGTATCTGACACTCCGCCACAACTGAAATGAGAGTTTGTACCTTCTTTGGCAAATATATCTCTGACATATTGTTGGAGACTCTCAAATATAAACGCCCTTATAACACTTCATTACTCATATTTATGCCAAAATATTGTGATATAATTTGGAACCCCTTCTATTTTAATCACTTTTGAGAAGGTTGAATGACAAAATTTTTGAAATTAATTCATTTTGAAAGCACATATTTGGATTGTTATCATTATCCTTTACAGAAAGAAATCAAATACGGTTCTGGATTCAGCAACTTGGAATATTCCCCTGCAATTACTTTCATGGAAATCTACTCACCATTTTCAAACAAAAAATATACTGCAATTGACCTATAAAAACAACTTCGATGGTATTTACATGTTAATATGTCTCAAAGGTATATTATCATTTGCTATATGAGGAATGATGAAGTTTGAATAGTGATTGTAACTTCTGAAAAACTCTTGATGTAAATGGAATTTTAAACAGTTATAGGTACATGTTTATCTACTTTGACACACAAGTAAATTGGTTAATCTACAACCAAAATTCAGAGAAAGTGCAAAGGCATGACGAGGTTTGTAGGTTAAGGAAGAATATCTACCCAGCTAATATCAGGCCATGTATTTATTTGGGTATCATTCATAAATTGGAATGGTGTAACTAAACAGTTTTTCGACAATTTATTATAGAAAATACATGAAAAAATTAAATTCAACCTCAAATATAATTGTGCGTATTGGATTCATCTAGCTGCTTTACATAAACGGGAAAGTAAACCCGACATTTGGAGAAGTGAGCACAGTCCATCCACTATTCTCTGATGGGTGAGTCCAATTTCCTGAAAGTAATAGAAAAATTTGATCATCGTTATAATAATAATAATAATTATGCTTTATTGTCTAAAGACTTACTATTATTGATACAAAATATATTAAAAAAATTGTAAATATAAAACAAATTTATACATAGTCCAACACCAGAAAATAACATTTTTCATTGTGCTTCAGATAAAAACAAATAAATATAAAGTGAATCGATTCATAAAACATGACTTACTTTTATAAACTCTAGTTTTAAAGCTTCCTCCATGTCCATGTTCTTGCACACCTTGAAGATGTTCTTTATTATATCTTCTGCAGCATATCCAAGATTCCACAGATGTTCTATGACCTTATAAGCTTTCCGGATGTCCCCATTCATACAGCTTGTCAGCATATCTTTGATGAGCATGGGATGAGGTTCATCACAAACTTTGAACACATTCTGAGAATTTACTTCTCCGAAACCATTGTGGGTCGATTGCAAATTGTTCAAGGCCTGCCTCATATCGCCCTGAGCAGTGAATACGACCGCCTCTAGGCCATCATCGGTATACTTAACCTAAAAAGTATGTACTAGATAACTGAGTGACAATCACAAAAGAATGTTTGTACATCTTCCTTTTCACAGATCTGGATAATTCTGGCCATTACTTGTGCATCCGTCAAACGAGAATACCTCAAAATGGCACATCTAGACTGTATGGCTTCTATAACTTTCTCGCTGTAATTGCAAGCTAAAGCAAATCTTGTGGTGTTGCTATAAATTTCCATAGTCCGCCGCAGAGCTTGCTGAGCACCTTCGGTCATACTGAAAGAATGATTTGATAGCAACATAAATGTTATAATTTCACTTCAAATAGTCAGTGGAACTTATAAGTTTCATACTGAAAATGTTCCTTAAACCTCACTTTATAATCAACATAGTAAGAAAACATCTCAAGACATACCATGCTGATTTATTATTAATCATTTGAGACTCTATAAATATTATTTAAATTATGAACATTATTCACTCCTACCTGTCTACTTCATCTAAAATAATGATCTTATGTCTGCCAGGAGGTAAAGTTACTTTTTGCTGAGCAAACATTTTTACTTTATTTCGTACAATATCTATTCCTCTATCATTGGAAGCATTGAGCTCTAGCACAGCATCTTTGAAAGAAGGGCCTAGGAGAATTTTGGCAAGGCAGAGAATTGTAGTAGTTTTACCTACACCTGGAGGGCCCTGAAAAAAAAATCATAATCCCTCAAAGATTAATATTTTTTAATTTTTCAGCTTTAACACATTGTAATAATAATTTTAAAAATAAAATAAATACAACAATAAAAATTAATTGGCGCTCCGGGGCGACTTCATTGATTCCAGTGGTGCAGGAAAACCTGGAAAAACCTGCAGTACCACATCATCTGAAGATCTTGATCTAACAATGTCCTCTCTCTCATAAAACAAAATGTAGGGTGTCTCCAGAGGCTCCAATAAATTCAATGCATCGCCAGAACACTTCGTGACACGACTATCGTCAAACTTAAAACAGTCCGTTTCTTCTTTGACCAAGGCGTAATAATGATTAATAAGATTAATTGGTGACTACATTTATGTCAACAGTTGTGATCCAGTAGAAAAGAGGATTGTAAATATGTATGTAGGCTCTGTTCAATGTACTGGTTCAACAATGATCGTAATGACATATAAAAATATTTGACTCTATGGCCTTTATTCGACCAGGCAACTCTCACCTCAATGACTATTGCTTGGCTAACTTCAAGAGGTTGTTTAAAGACCTTAAGGTCCGATTATACAGAATTACAATAACGCTTCCTTCAAATCAAAACAACCAGTGTCTAAAGAAAATTATTTCAGAAAATAATACCTACAGCAATTATGACATTTGGTACATTCCCTTGTTTGGAAAAAATGGAGAGCCTTGTAAGAGTGTCTTCGTTTCCTACTATTTCTTGAAATGTTTGCGGTCTGTACTTTTCAATCCTATAACAAAAATCAATAGACTTTATTTATGATAATATTAAAAATTTGGTTACCAAGGTAGATTGCAATGCTTCTTGTTACTTGTTTCATCTCCTTGTTTGCATGATGTCGATGGCTTTTGAAGTGGTTCATCAATCTCCATAGCGCTCATTGTTGAAAAATAATTTTAATTTTGTTCCAACAAAAATTACAATTTCAATAATAAACAATTTTCAATTTTATTTTCCCTCCAATTCTCTTCTTCCTTTCCACTTTTTCCCTCTTCTTCCTTTCTTTTCGAACAGTCTTGTAAATGATTCATTCACAGTGGCGGTACATAAATAAATGTGCGTAACATAAGAAGAATTAGCACATCATCCATTGAAATAATTTATTCTAGTAAAATAATTGAAACGATTTGCACCATCGGAAGTTCAACAATAATATTATTGATATATTGATACATGTTAACAAGAGTTAACACTGCTCGAAATATGGCAATAGCATTGTCCAACTACTTCTCTACATATTGACGTAAGAGTTTTGATTATTTCTTATTATTTAAATATGGATCAGATTTCTATACCCATGATTTGTCCATCATGGAGGCACTTATAAACTCACAAGCGCGTTAGAGTTCTGTGAATTATATCTGAGTACTTGCAGCTACAATATGAAAGCACTCCAAATAGGGAACAAACATATGTCTCAGTTTTGAAATATTTTTATTTCAACTAGTGAATCAACCTCAATAATGCTGTGAAAACTGTTTCGATTTACAAATGAATTTTTCATAATAAAAAAAAACTTTTATTGTCCAAACTGGCACTAGACCCAATTCCTGTACACAGTATACAATTTTGAGATGGAAGTGTTAAATATAGGAAATATACATATCGTAATAGTAATACATTCATGGAATATTCAAAAGGAAAAAAAGAAAAAATAAATTGCAAGTAAGTATTTGATGATATGCAAAATGAAATACAGTTTTGGGATAAAACTGGTGAATACCTATAGAAAATATACATATCTCAAAAATAAAACCATCATTGAACAAAAAACAAATTTGAAATGAGTATTTGTTGCTTCATAATGTCAAACAGCGTATTGAAAATAAGTGGAATCGATTGTATTAGTATTGATAATTATTTTCAGTTGTAGTCGGGATTTTCCGAATGTTCATCAAAACCACAAGTGGCGCTAGCGTTTGGAAAGTTATTCGAATTCAAGATCCAATCGAGTTCAGTTTTTTGTAGTCTATTTTCAATAGCCGTATGAAAAAGAAATCGCATTGGTGCCATCTGATATATTTCTCTAAATTTAATTCAATTTGAGTTAGCATAGTTGAACATGTTTGGATTTGAAAAAATGTAAGTGTATACCTATTCGGTATATCTGTTTTTTATGAATGTGCTTTTCACCAATAGAAAACTCTATAAAGATTTTGAAACAAATTTCTAGTTGCGGCAACACTGTAAGGTTCAGTATAATGACAACGACATATTTTTGACGTCAAACAAGACCGCGGTGTTGTTTTTATGGCATCGAACAAAAAAACTTTTGACATTGTTGTCGTATTTTGTGTTTTTGTCCATTTTTAATAGTTTCAGTCTCTTTTGCATTGGAATTATATCACATTTTGCACCTGTTCCTTACAAAACCATTTAATGATAACGTAAGTATAAGTTTTGTATATGAATATATTCTATTTTGAATATTTTCAGAGTGAAATGGATATAAAAAGTGAGTTGGATTTAAGCGGTAAATTAATAATTAAAGTACAACTCGGCGATGATATTAGACGAATTCCAATACACAACGAATCTCTTACTTATGATGAACTGGTTTTAATGATGCAGAGGGTTTTTAGGGGTAAATTATCAGCCAATGATGACATCACAATCAAATACAAAGATGAAGGTACTCATATTTACAAATTAGATTATCAGATTAGTTCCACATTCTTTGTCTTTGTCCGCTTTAATCGGATATTTTTCCAGATGGTGACTTGATAACGATATTTGAAAGCAATGACTTGTCTTTTGCTATTCAGAGTAGCCGGATACTGAAATTACAAATATTATTGAATTCTGAATTGAAGACTGATGCGACAAGTGCATTATCTTCAACTGAAGTAATCAATTTGAAAAAGCAGCTTAGAAATATAAGGGATCAAGTAAATGATATATTAGATTCTATTGACGTTAATGAAAATAAAGTTGCTAGTGGGGCTCATCAAGGTAAGCAAAATTCACTTAGATCATTTTGAAGTGCTTCATCCTTCATATTATAATTCAAAATATTATTTCGTATGCAGAATCTGGCGAAACATCAAACATAGATTCCAACCAATCAGCCTCCTCTCTCAATAAGGTGAACTCGGGCGAGTTTGATCCGCTGCAGGACAAGAATCAAAAAAATGGTACCGAAGATCACAAGGAGTCCTCCAAGCCTTCGACTCCGCAAATCAACAATGAGGGAGCCAGTAGTAGACCTCAGTCCGTTTCCATGGCCACCACACCTGGTCAGCAATCAGTGGTCACTTCCGCAGCTGCCAATCCCCACATGACTGATTACTTTGGCAGATCATCTAATGCTGCTAATTTTCCTGGGATGCAGTATGGCTCGTTGCCTTATCCGCAGCAATACACCTTCCAGACAACTGGGTGAGTCCCATTATCTAATTTTTTTTTTTTCAGTTATTTATTCAAAATTCGAAAAACAAATTTTCAACTATATTTTTCTGGTTCAAAGGAAATTTTACACGTTATAAGCACATGATTGAAGCGCTTGCTAACATAAAAATTAGTTTATAAAGATATATGATGTTTGAACTTCTCCAATGAATTTTTATGGCATTTTTTGGATGTTGTTTCTGTTCAGGATCAATTAGTAATTTTTCATGAAAGGTCCACCATCTGATTTCTCCCTTTATTAGTTTTATACTCATGGCTACTTTTGGAATTGCATGTTAAATAGTTATGATTCCTTATATTGTTACGATTTGAGTTTTATGTTTTTGTTTATTTTTGAGTATTTTCAAGTATCAAAAAATATCCTTTCATGAAAAGTAGGCATATTAATGTTTTTTTTTTCACAATCTGAAAAATACACAAAACTAAATCAATCTGAATCCGCTAAAGTGTAATTGATTTAGCTTTGTTTATTTTTCAGATTGAGGCAGGTTGAAAACCCAAAAAAGAGGAAGAAACATTGACTTATTTACAAAAATGCCTTTCAAAGTTGACCCATACACGATGATACAAACCTGAAGCATGCCTGCACGAGAGCACATGTGAAATGAAACTTTTTAAATGCACGGTTCACATTTATTTGTCAGTGCATCAGTTTGAACCTTGATACATACTGATAAATTCAATCATTGAATTTTTGTTTTATCAACCATTTTGTTAATGTAATAATAACTTTCGAACCGCCAAAATTGCCCTCCTAATCAAGAAGGTCGCCTCTTCATTTTTCATGACTTCCAGCATGGCTTATTTTTATGAAACAACATTTTTTCTCACAGAATAACATTTGAAGCGATATGACTATGGGTATTACATGTGAATATCTCGATTATTGATCGTCACACAAATTTTATTTTCAGAAATAAGATGCAAAATTCTGCAAACAATACCCATACATGTTCAAAATGATTTTTCACAAAATGAAGATACAATCTTCGCGATTTGCAGGGCAGTAAACCACGATTTAAAATCAAAAATATTCGAGTTATTTCTGGTGGAGTAGTAATGACTAGGTTAATGAGAATTTTAACTTTATTTTCAATTCTATTGGTATAAACGGGAATGAAACCCTTTTGATGCAGAAAAAGTGTAAAACAATTACCCTAATAATATGTAAAAATAGATTGTTGAAAACTTATACCTAGATCCAAATGTTAATGAACTAAATGGCAAAAACATAATTAATTACGGAATTTTTGGATTCCTCATGTAGTTTGTAAACAAAATTTAGTACTGACTCAATAGCCTAAAATTCAACACATTGGACTATTGAATCAACAGTTTTTTAAATATATCTGTATAATAAAGATAGTGTTATCTTCTCTAGTTTCCCTCGCCTCACTCTTAAAGTAATAACGTTAAGAAATTCTGAACAATATTAGTGACCTGCTAACAACTTGAAATGGAAACAATAAGTCTGTTTAGATTCCTTAATTTTCCAAAGTTGTCAAATGGAGAATTGAACAGATATCATTGTAGTTTTTGGGAAAGAAAGTTTTTGGCTTTCTACTACTCCATCTTGATACAAAAAACAAGGACGAGGGAATCTTCCAAGGAAAGGAAGGAAGTAATCAATTTCAAAATAAGTAACTCTACATGGATGTGTAGATCATGCAAAGAAGTAACTTTCAGTGTTCATATAGAAGTATTTGTTTCGAAAGAATTTTTCTTTCGTGTAATTCAATGTTTATATGAAAGTAGCTGTTTCAGGAGGACTTTCTTTCAGTTTGTGTCTGAAAGTTACTTCTTTGCATGATCCACACATCCATGTATAGAGTTACTTATTTTCAAATTGATTACTTCCTTCCTTTCCTTGGAAGATTCCCTCGTCCTTGTTTTTTGTATCAAGATGGAGTAGTAGAAAGCCAAAAACTTTCTTTCCCAAAAATTAATCACTCCTAAAAATATAACTCCTTCAATTCATCATTGTAGTTGTAATGTCCCAATTGAAAACCCATTTCGTAAGCAGAAGACCTCAAGAATTTATTCTGGACTCTTTTTAATAATATTTTATAGATAAAGTAAGGAGACCACACAATAGATGGGCCCTCTCAACCAACGTTTTACCTCTACCTTTTGTCGTGCTGGTGATTACAGTTTTTATTCAGGTTCCTGTCTGTGTGTGTGTGTTGGTTTCCAGTTACACTCTGTGGCCCAATGTTCCATTTTTATGTTTATTCACAAGAACATCCAAAAAAATATCAAATAACTTTCGAAACAATAACAATATACTGGGAATTGATTTGTTCCTTCCTGTGGAAGTTTCCCACAATTTTTTGTAAAAAGTTGGAGAAGTCAAAGCCAAATATATTTTTGTTTAGTTTACACATTAACAGTGATATAATAATTTACATGCTAAGGTTAAAAATGATTTGTAACATAAAAAATTATACTCAAAAATTAAATTAAAAAAATTCATTCAAACTGTAGCATGGTCGATTTGGCAATAAAATAATTACAGATTTTTCTGAACCTTTCAATAATATTTTTCACTTGCAGAAGGTACGTTCCTCAAGTTATGGACAGCTCCCAGGTTCCCAGTTCCAATGCTTATTCGAACCCCTCTCAAGCCAGCCTGGCTTACCCTCAGCAGCAACAGTACGGCCACCCTCCCGGTAGCGTGGTCTATCCTACATCTGCTCAAGGCAATCCCTATTCGAAGGGATTCACCCAGCCTTCTCCACAACACGGCTTCATGCCTCCGCGTCAATAAATTTTCAAGATATCTAACGTAAATTTATTTAAGGTTTTAAACTCTTTTAGTGGTCGTTTGAGGAATTTGTACGTTATCGATGATATTAATGTTATTTTAACTGTTCAACTGTATGATTGCCTTTAACTGTCTATTCTCATGATGCTCTACATCCTAGGCAATAAATAATTGACATTTTTGATAAACATTTTATTGGTCCTTGGAAATGTTTGAATTTTGAAACTTTTGAATTTGAAACAGTGCCAGAAAAAAAGCCGGCAAACACCTTTGATTTTCAATATATGAATATATATTAACACAAATTTTCATTTTAGCACAAAATATGAAGAAGGATGATGACATCTCCTCTTAAGAACACGCCATCTATGAGATCGACAAAGAACTCAGTCCTTGAATATCCGCTTACCAAGGCGGTCAGTTGCAAAGCCAAGCTTCGAAATTGACTGCCGATGAAGTTCGTTCCCTGTCATTAACTGCAGCTTTCAATGCAACATGAGTATGAAGGTTTTAACTGACCGCCTTGGAGAACCTCGTTTATTTATAGATCCCATAGATGATGTCTTCGTAAGGGAAGATGTCGTCGCCCTCACATACTCCAACAGTTGAATCCAGCAACGAATTTGTGATTCAGCCTAGCACTATGGCGGGTCGAAACAGCGCTAAATCAAAGAACAACACTTTGTGTCATTTGAACAAACTTGAACACTTGAACAAAGTACAAAACTGCAATACATATTTCATTACACTATGGAATTGAAAGATATAATTTCTGTTCTGTTATAATTGTTCACTAAATCTCGAAAAATATGTTTTAATGGGAATAAATTTAGGGGGTTGCGCCTTCCACCCCTTACAACCATGGGGCAAACCAAACAAATTACTGGCCGAGCTCAGTGCTTGTGAAAAAAACCGTTATACAAATTCTATGTACCCACTTCAAGGGGCTGTATCTCAACAAGGGATGCTCCAATGAAGTTTCCATATATGAAAGATCATATCCCCCCTTCGATGAGAAATCATCTCCTTGAACGTTCTACACTCATTCAGTTACACCCTGTATATCACATGTTTCGCTAACACGGCACCTTTATCAACAGTGATTTGAATTTGAACTGTTGAAAAAGCTACGGTGTTAGCGAAACATGAGAGAGAGAGAGAAAGAACTTTATTGTCCAAAGAACAGAATTCTTGTTAACAAAGTTTAGAAATACATTTATGTATGTACACATATATCTATATACACACACACACAAACACACATATACATATGTAACACAAAGGGATCAATTCAAAATTAAATAAACACCTTAAAATAATAAAACCAAGTAAAATAATATAAAGTGCGTATGCAAGTGATTGCAATGTTAGTCAAAATCTTCATTATAATATTCGTCTAAAGTACAGAATTAGTTGGTGTTAAAAAGAAAGAATCTCTTGTATATATGTTCTTCATATAACATTTAGGGTCTTCTTGCGGGGGGATATTTGTAGAGATATTTTCTGAGTAACTATCATTATGAAATACAAGACTTGGTAACGGGTCTCATGTGATAACTTAGTGAATGTCTGCCATCCCAAGTAAGTACATTGCAATCCTATATATATATAATACTACCAATATCGTACATGTGCGTCGAATACTCCTGTTTTGAATGAACAAAAAAAAAACATACATTTAAAATATTTTAGTGACAAAAAAATCCAATTTTGAAAAGTATTCCAATGAGGGCCACCATCAGAGAGGCCGTCAGACGCGAGAGGTCAAGACAATATTCAAACAGCTATGAATAGATGTTTGAGTTTGTTTTGTTTCGGAAATTTGAAGTTCATTTTACGAGGTTTTGGCATATGGATTAGGAGGTAATAACACGCTCCTTAATTGCTCAGGGTGTTCCATATATAAGTGGCTCCGATCACAAATTTCCAAATGATTTAGTCTATCTATGAAGGAGAAAAATGGATATAAAATTCGATTAATTAAGTATGAAAAATTAGAGTTGAAAAAAGAAAATATTGAAAAATTAAAAGTAAATAATAAATATCAATGAAAAATGATAATTACAACGTTAAAAACATGTAGTTTCAATTCTCATTTTTCATGATGATTTCCCATCACATAGTAACGGCTACATCCATCGATTAATTAAATAAGGAACAAAAAAGTTGGAACACTAAAAAAAACAAATTATTTCAATTTACTGTATCATTTCCACTGAAAAGGGTTCTACTAAAACCGTGGCACATGTTCTGCTAGACTCCAGAAACAAGCATATTTGTGTTTAGTGGTTGCAATTATGCTAGAACAAAAACCGTAAAAAACATCCATTTCTAGTGTTATGTCTAAATTTTAAAATATGTTGATCTTAACAAATACATTATCTCCGGCAAAGCTGTGAAAACTGCTTGGAAGTACAAATAAAACTTTAAATCATCTATAATATTAAAACGAAAATGGCGACGATTTAAACTTTTTTGATTGACCGTGTTAGGAATCACACGTTAAAAGGTAAGACCTCGTTAGTCCTTAGCTCGCACAAGTTTCTCAACTTCTGAGAGTTGTCGTTCGTATGGGGGCGACAGCTGATTATCGAAAAAACATATTTTTTTTCAAACAGATTAACGAAATTGAAATATTCGATGCTTTCTAAGAATTTTTTTTGTAATAATTGTTAATCAAGAGGTAGAAATATGAAATCATTTTCCAATTATTATTCTTGATAACTCATCAGTCGATTGTATTATTATTGATAATTAACTACGGTCGCAGTGGGGATTTTCTGAATGTTCATAAGATATCTATTGATAGCGTTAGCGTTTGAGGGGAAATTTTCAAATTTGGGTATTTTGTAGAGAAAATAGTCAAGAAATATTTCTTTCACTGTATGGAACATATGAGTACATCATCAATAATTGAAGAATAAAAAAATGCATAGGTGTTTATTGGTTTCTTTAGATCAAAGCGCCTCTCTTAAGGGTATCTTCTAGACCGGAAAAGTGTGACGGTGACGTCGCTTTTAGGTTGGTGGTATTACTCTTATGCGTTTCAGTTCTGTGACAATTACCCATAGAACTCATAATTATATGAATATCTCGAGTTACAATTCTGAGTTCTGTGCTGTGACCATGATGGGTTTCTAGGGAATTTGAAAATACCCTATTTTCCCAATGTCAACACACCTGTTTTTTTCCGTCAAATAATTGACACAAACGTCTGTGGTGTACCGTGCCGCCTATGGTTGACTTCTACACAATTCACAATTTCTCTTTCGTAGTGTTTGCCTCTGCGAGTGCCAGCCATGTTGACCCGAATGAGACAGGTTTTTCAGCATTTTGCTAGAACTTGAGGGTGAATCTAGGTAAAAAAATACATTATGCCCAAGTGCGATGTCAAAACTAGATACATACCAGCTACATTTGCTTGGACATTGCTCATCGTAGCCACCACACTATTTTTTTATTATCCGTAAGTTATTTCTGTATGTTTATACTTCCAAATTTAGCCGTCCACTCTCATTGTAGTGCCCAGTATTATATACCAGATCACCCATGGGTTCCTGCTTATCAAGGGGTTATCACCTTCTTCGTATTGGCAAATTTCACCCTCGCCACTTTCATGGACCCTGGAGTCATACCCAAAGGTAAAAAAACTACTCCAATAATTTCACTAATGACTAAATCTCCGTCATACTCTCAGCACCTCCTGACGAAGACAGAGAAGATGACTTTAGAGCTCCCCTTTATAAGAACGTTGATATAAATGGTATTACCGTTCGCATGAAATGGTGTGTTACTTGCAAATTCTATAGGCCACCGAGGTGTTCTCACTGCAGTGTGTGTAACCACTGTATAGAGGTGAGTTATAATAGAATTTTCACTAGTATCAGACTTGTAACATTTAATGCAAACTTAGCTACATACTGTACTACCTTTTTTGAAGTTCGTTTCAATTTGGGAACATTGTTTGCACTATTAGGTCCAGTAAAAATATAATCCAAATTTTTAAACTGGTGACTCATATTCCTAGTTATCAGATTTATTTTGTAAACACCTCAAGTATTCAATATAATTTCATGAATCAACACTTCTATCTTTTTGTTCAATGATTGTAACATTAAAACGGCAAATTCCTCTCATTTGATGAATGAACTAGAACAAAATAGGAATAATTGTTGCTGCAGATAACCGTGAACAATTAAAGTATAATTGTGGTTTAGATGTACTGATCTGTTTACCTGATTAAACTTTTATTTATAGTTATTTTTCCATTCGAAAACCATTGAATTTATATTTTATCTGAAGTTAATTTATCCACACCTGTGATATTAGGAGGTAAATGATTCATCAGCTATTTCTCTAATAACCAAATTGGAATTTATTCCACCACAAATATTTATCTGTGTAAGAGGCTTAGAAACACTGGTTTAAATGAAGAGAAAACTGAAATAAGATACATAAAAAACAGAAAAATATTCTTTTTAGGCAATAATATATTTATCTTGAATGGTGCATTAACACTTATACATTTATATTGTAAATGTATACATCTATACAAATAAGTATAGGTGTTGAGATTATTAGTAAATGAACAAGCAAATTCATAATAATTACCTATATATGTTGTTCATGGTCGTGAAACCTTATTCTATTCTTTTGCACATCATTGTTGAAGAAAACAATTTTGGTGATGAAATGTACCTATAATATTGTGGAAACGAATAATGAAAATAGGGTAACATTGAAGTTTAAAATTTTTCGGAAGACTCTGGGACTTGATACAAATAAACACATACAAATTGGTATACCTATTTAAGTATGTTATATATTATTACACAGATACATTTTTTGCAGGGTCTCCATATCAATTGATTTCATATATGTTTTGAGTTTAGGCTTCATCATATTTGTAAAGTTAGTTATCATTTTATAAAAAAGGGTGTCATATACATGAGTTATTTGATATTTCATAGAATGTTTCATTTCCTTCAAAGTCCTTTTTAGTTTTGAAAGGTGGAAGTGGAATATCTGACGTAGAATGAATTTAAAAGAAGCATAGTTTCCAAACACCAAAACATGCTTCGAGAAAGAGAGTTGCAGTTGTAGTGTTTGGGAACAGATTATTGTTCTTTCCCAAAAGTTAATCTTTCCTATAAATACACTCCATTCAATTTAATGTTCTATATCTGAAAAAAACTGTTTTTCCTGTGACCAGCTGTTGCCCCCCTACAAACAACAACTCTCAAAAGTTGGAACTTGTGCGAGCTAAGAATTGATGAGATCTTACCTTTAAACGTGTGATTCCTAGCCAATCGTAAATCAATCTCAAATATATTTTTTAGATGCCTCCAACTTCGATTTTTTCCAAATGTGCTGCAATTTTCCAATTAGGCATTTTTCGGTTGGTCTTTCCCATGTTAATTTAAAATGATTTTCAGACCTTTGATCATCACTGTCCTTGGGTGAACAACTGTATAGGAAGGAGAAACTATAGGTTCTTCTTTTTCTTCCTCATATCATTAAGTATACACATGATTAGTATATTTACATTGAGCCTCATCTTTATATTACATTGTGAGGATGTCTACTCCAAGCCTCAACCCATTATTGCGTATCCTTTTTGAAAAATTATTTCACATTTTTATTAGAAAATAACGTCAGTATATGGAATAACATTCAATTAAAAACTGATGAAAATTATTTAGAATGAACGAGAATATATGAAATAGAAACATCTTCCTTAACACAACTTCAGTATGGTATTAATGGCATTGGTGGCGCTTTTGTCGATTCCGATATTTGGCTTGACAGGCTTCCACATGGTTCTGGTGTCTCGAGGACGCACCACAAATGAACAAGTCACTGGTAAGTTCAAGGGTGGCTACAACCCTTTTTCTAGAGGCTGCTGGGATAACTGCTGCTACACCCAGTTCGGTCCTCAGTTTCCAAGGTACAGTACAAGTTGATATGTTGTTTCATAATGCACCGGATAATTTATGCATTTATGTTTTCAGTCTTATGAAACCTCATAAATACAATGCGAAACGAAAACACTGTCCTCACGGACCTATTGCTACGATTACGAACGACAGTCAAGTGAAAACCTACATGGATAACAGCAACGGAGTGAGAAATATCAACTCTAATGCTTACAACAAAGTGAGTTCTTTTTTTTGAGCATTGCGCTCTAAATATTTTTTTTCTATCAAAATAGAAGCATATGAGGTTATTACTAACCTGGATCTTGAGAGGAAGAGTAGAAATTTTGGATTGAAATTTGTGTTGAAAATATCAAAATATACAATTTTTTATGGTACTAAAAACTTGAAATGTCTGTTTCTTATTAGTCAATGGGCTATGCTTGAAGACTGGCAGTAAACAAATCTAAAGCAAATGGAACTTCAAACGTTCAAGCCAGTCTCTATATACCTACACAGTAGGTTTAATGGACTGACGCATATCAGAAAACAACTACTCCCCTGGCTAATACCACGAAGGGCGTTGGATTATATAAGACAGGCGTCAGTGCAGGAATCTTCACAGAAAATGTCCTGCATATGCAATTGGCAATACAACTGAAAGAGTCGACCTTCAATTATGGAACGGGCACACTTGCAGACCGGTTTCGGGCTTATTAGCCACTCATCAGTGCAAGATAGTGACCATCATCGACCTAAAGTCAATGATATTCCACAATTGAAAATCGGAATTCTTTCAGAGTATTTCATTCCTCTTCCGAAGTTGGAGCGAACATAAAAAATGTCACTCCATCTAGTGGACGAGGTACTAACCAACTGCACATCCGTAATTTGCCCGATTCCTCTGAATAAGGACTATATACCTACTGTGTAGGTATATAGAGACTGGCTTGAACGTTTGAAGTTCCATTTGCTTTAGATTTGAAATGTCTGTAGTTAAGGTTATTTGGTATCTTTGTCAGTTTAGAATGGATTCCTGAATTGGCTTTGTTCATTAAAATAAATGAATGAAGATTAGAAATCAATGTGAAAATTCAGGGACAGATCTTGAAAAATTGTCATTTTCAGATGTCGCCCGGTCGAGAAGGCTGTGAGCTCGAAATGGAGCCTTCGGCATCACAATCCCAAGACTGCGAACCAACGCCGCCTCTGCAGCGACATGGTTCGAAAAGCAACTTCTTTCTGCCCCCCTCGACGGTCGATGGCGAGTCTCCAAGACACCCACGCGGCGTCGTGCATTACCCCCGGAGTAGCCCCCATCCGCGGCCGAGAGGCCTCGACTCTAACAGGAGCGGCACCCCCGATAGCTTGGGGCCCCAGCGACCTTCGCCAACTATGCAGCAGAGGATAAAGGCGCTCGGAGTTCCCACGCCACTCGCGCTCTCTACTCCCGTCAGAAGGTAAACATAAATCTGAGTTTGTCTTTTTTGCGTGAAGCACAAAGATGGTGTCTTTCTAGAGAATCGTTCTGGGACGAGGGCCTGAAAGTTGCATCGGGGTTTTCATTGCTACTATCTATTTGTGGACAGGACATCTTCAAAAAATTTCCATTTTATCGATTTTCTTGTTTGAGAACTCTTGGAATTTTCTCATCAAAAGTACAATCTTTGTTTATGTTTTACCATGATAACACGTTAAATACTAGATGTGTTCAAAGTATAATTTTATTTGTTCTCATTCGCGTTTGAAATACAGTTAGCAAGTGAGGGCGATCTCTGGCCAAGAATGAACCTATTCCAAAAAATGAATGGCAGAATACTTTTTTTTAAACATCATCTCAACAAAAGCTAAGTTATAGTACGGTCAATGGATCTTTACACATGCATCATCAATTTGTGCATCCGAAATAAGCCAAGAAAGTTATGAAAACTAAACAATGTGGCTACTAATCCAAACAACCTAATCTGTCAATGAGGAAACTGATTTTATTTATGAAATCCGCTAAAAAGTAATTCCATCTGTGATTTTTTTCGAAGGTGCTAAGTTACGAATCTCTCCGACTTATTGGTTTGAAGGTGTGAGTTATGGATTATTTTGCCTACTCACCCAACAAAAAACGCTAAAATAATTGACGCTTTTTTAAATAATTGAATTGAATCAGCCAGATAATTTACTTATTTCAGCAGCTTTTTGGTAGAAGCATCACCTCAGATCAAATATACTGAAAATTTAATTTTTATCACTATTGAAATAAATGTCAATTTTGCGAATATTTCTCATTCGGTAAGTAGACAAAGTAATTCATAACTCACACCTTTGAACCAATAATTAATAGATAGATAGTTATCTTTATTAGTTCTTTGGTACAAAGACCCTTACGGGTGTAGAACATGTCAATGTATAAAGGAGTATGATAAAAATTACAAAAAAATAAAAAATAAACATAAAAATAAAAAATATTAAATGAAAAAAAAATATATATTCAGACAAACATATAGTACAATAATAACATTGTAACAGTATACAAACAGTCAGACAAAGAATATAAACAGGCAGACAATTCAAAGTCTATCAGCGAAATATTCTTCTACCGAATAATAAGCCTTTTATAAAAGCATGATTTTTAGTTCCTTTTTCATTTTTCTAACAGGCAAGTTTTTGATGGAATCTGGTATTTTGTTATAAATATTAATCACAGAAAAAGGAACATTTTTCTGTACAAAAGAAAAACGTGTCATTAAGTTGAGAANGATATCGTATCGTAGAGGTGAGAATAATGGTTTGTATTCAGTAGTAGTCTAGTTCAATTTAATAAAAGATATAGACTGGATTCGTGTACGAGTAAATGAGTTTTTGAAACTTTATATTTAAGGAAAAGTGCAATAAGTCAACAACGCCGTAACCGAATTTCAAAAACCAAACATGAAATGATATCAGAATTTAACTTAGCATCTGAATATGTAATGATATACAGGGCATTCTATTTTAAAAAATGGAATTTTGGTCTGTAGCACCTACACCAAACACCCTGTATATTTAAAAATTATATCAAAATATAGCTCTCATGAACTCCTAAAACTTTTGTATTAAACATTTTTGTGTATCTCCTTCAACAAACCAGATATTGCCTGTCACATAAAATGTGGGACACCCGGTATATATATATATATGGATATATATAAATAAACACATTGCATACTACAAGACATTTCAGACAAACATATAGTACAATAATAACATTGTAAAAGTATACAAAACAGTCAGACAAAGAATATAAACAGGCAGACATTTCAAAGTCTCAGTGAAATATTCTTCTACCGAATAATAAGCCTTTGATAAAAGCATGATTTTTAGTTCCTTTTTCATTTTTGTAACAGGCAAGTTTTTGATGGAATCAGGTATTTTGTTATAAATATTAATCACAGAAAAAGGAACATTTTTCTGTACAAAAGAAAAACGTGTCATCAAGTTGAGAAGACTGTTTTTGTTGCGGGTATTATGAGAGTGATTCCTATCAAAAATTTCAAATAATGACATGTTTTCTTTAACAAAAATAACACATTCATACACATACATACTTGTAAGAGTAAGAATTTTCTTTTCAGTAAATATTTCCCTGCAACTCTCTGTTCTAGGTAGATTGAAAATTTTTCTCAAACATTGTTTTTGTAGAACGAATATTCGCTGAGTGTCCACAGACATTCCCCAAAGGAAGATACCATATCTAATGCGACTTTCAACTCACCATCTTCAAAAGATAATCACATAAAAGCAAATTAAAAACTTCTCAGTGGTGTTTCAATTATTTTCAATGGCAAGTAAACCCTTGAGATTCACTACCCCAAAAAAATTCTCAAATGTCAAACTTAATTATTGAGGTGACAGTTCGTTTTGAATCGTCTAATTTTCATGTGGCAAAAAAAAAATTAAAGTTCTTCACTTGATAACAAAATGAGTATTGTTTGAAACTCAAATAGTTTTTTTGTCACACTGCTTTTGTTGAGTAGTTTTTTGAACACAGGACTAGTAATCAGAATTCTTGGGTTCAAATCTTACTGAACACAGAAATTTATTTTATCACACTTATTTTACTGATTCAGTAGTTGGCTTTTAGGTCCTCTGATTTTAAGCTACGACTTAGACTATAAATTTATCATCCCAATACCAATGCAACTCCCTATAATTAATATTGGTTTCACTGGATGAATTGATCAGATTTTTGAAATTATAAATTCTCAGAAATATTGCCTTTATATTTTTCTCAGTCTGTTTTCTCAGACCCAATCATATCAATCAGTTATAAGTTTTCTTATTGAGTATACTACCCTTTTTCAGCTGTATCATTTTGCTGGTTTAGAATACTGAATTTTTTTGCCTCGAATGTTGTTTGAATCCTGTTAATTGGTACCTATTTTGTGACGTTACAGTAAACACAGCATCTATTTCGAAACGGAAAGACGGATCTTTCGTTTTTAAAGCTTTAATAGTGTTGATTTTCATCCATGTATGAATTTCTTCATGTATTTTTGTAGATCACACCACAGGCATTTGTAATATAATATTTGACAACGATGAAGTTTTTCAATTCATTGTGCAATATGTTTTCCCCGCTTGTTCTTTATATGTCTCTTCTGTGTGTTATTACTTGAATTTTACTGTTTTGTTTTCTTTTGTGTGAAATACCACTAATGTTTTTTAAATAATTTAATAGAACTGGCCGATACTAGATGAAAATCCATATTAAAAAAAACTAATCAATATAGTTTATTGCATGATTTGCACTAATCAAAGTGATAAAATATTTTTAATTTTAAATTCCGCTCAAGGGGGTCTTGTTATAACTCGTTTGATTGGCATTTCAATTTTTTGAGTGATACTTTTTTCATCCTTGGAAATCAATAAAATCATACCTGAGTAATTAGCAGTTTTATATTCGTTTTAACCATTTGCAAACAATCTATAAATATCATGATTTTAAGAAAAATAAAAACATTCAAAACTTACTCCATATTCAAAATGTTATCATTCATTCCCTGACAATAATGAAGTCAGTTTACAATCTTTTTCTATCCACAAGTTCCTAAATGAATTTTAGTTGTGTATTTGTACATTTCAGATATTACACGAATCCCCTCAAAAACATCTAAAGGTGTCATATCAGGTGATCTAGTGGGCTAATGTAAGGGATCAAGTTTGCCTGTCTACCGGTTTGAAAGTTGTCAAATCCAAATGAGTTCTCAACTGAGCGTATGTTTCAGCAAGATGAGGGACTTCTTTATTACAATGAGTTGGTTTGAAAGTGTCCTGATAACAATTATCCAAATCAGTGGATAGGTGAACATGAATCCTTAGTATGTCCCGCTGCATTACCTGATATGACACCTTTAGATTTTTGTGTGGATTGTGAGATCTGAAGTACCGCGGTATACTTCAGAGCTCATGGTTATAGTAAGAGGTGTTCCTAGCGAAATTACCCCAGAAACATTCCATGATAGATTTGTAAATAAACTTCATTATTGTCAAGAAATGAATGGTGACTATTTTGAACATTTTCTGAAATGAAATGAAGTGAGTTTAGAATACATTTTTTCTTAAAATCATGATACTTATCGGTTGTTTCTAAATCCCACAACTAATGTAAAATTCCCAATTGTTCGGCTGATCTTATTTTGAAGAATTGAAAATTTTGGATAGGAATTGAAAGATGTATCAAACGACTTATCACAAGACCCTCTTTCTATTTGTAAAAAAATTGGTAGCACCCTCTCGTGAAAAATGATCCACACTACATTTTTTACATTGATCTGTTCGAAAGTTCTTATATTGCACAATAAATTGCTTAACTAGATGTAAGCTCTTGCATGTTTTTTTTTTTTTTTAGTTAGGCACTGCAGCACTCTTTATTCATTAGTGGAATATTGATGTTACTCCAATAGTAGTAATAGTAGTAGAGTTTTTCCTTGAAAAATCCCAATATCATTAAAAATAATTTTATTTGAAATCAATAATAGGGATTCAGTGTACAATGGGTACAGTCTGTTTGAATATAAACCTACTTTTGTTGAAATTTTTTTAAACAGACCTACTAATTTTCACGAAATGATTATTTATATTAATTAATTATGGATGTTTATAATGAAAGGTAAAACTGGAACCTCTGGCGTAGCATAAATCTAAAACAAGCACCGTTCTCAATCACCAGCAATGCAATACTCTTCTCGGTGCGTGTTAAATCATACACTTTCACTTTACGATATGATTTCAGGTAACAATTTGCGGGAAATTTTCTCGTGAAAGTTCCCGCAAATTTCAACAGATTGATTCATTAAAAAAAATACAATGTGCTGTTTGGAATGGGACTTTTTGTTGCGGTTCATAATTTTCGTGCCATACTTTGTTATTTCCAGACTTTCGAAAGCTTTCAGAAAGATTGTCATGTACCGATCTCAATAATTTCAGAAAGTTTTCATTTATTTTCATTTTTATTTATTGGTCTTGGAAATGTTCTGTGTGTTCCTTGAAACGAGTTTTTATAGCTTGCTTAATCTGAACAATATATTTCTGTTGTTGAATTGAGCAAAGAAGTTTCAAGGGCTACTTTCACGTTCAACTTTTTGAAAACATGATCTAATATGTTAGTGTATCTTGGTTTTTATGGAAGGAGAATGAATTGTGAATCCATGTCTTTTTGAAAAATCGAAAATTTAAAAAAATTCCCTCTAAATTTACGATTCCTAATAAAACTTGGAGAACGACCATAGAATAAACGAAAACTGTCTGAAATTATTGAAATCGGTACATGACACTAGATTTTTAAATGAATTGAAAGGGGTATATTTTTAGGAGAGAATAATTTTTGGGAAAGAAAGCTTTTTGCTCGCTACTTCTCTAAGTTTATAATTTTTGGAAAATAGTGAAGTTTGGCATGAGAACTATGGACAATGACAAAGGTTCCATCCCAAACAGCCCATTGTATCCCCTTCACGAAAAAAATTCACATATTACTGATGTGTATTGTAAAGTGAAAGTCCTGTTAGATATAAATAGATGTCAGTTTCAGCTTTGGAATTGGTTTTCTTCATCTCCTGAAGACGCCACCTTGGTTGGTGAGAAGAATATTGCATTACAGTTGATTAGATAAGAAGCTTGTTTTGGATGGTTGTTCATATTTTTATATTATAATACTTTATTGAGGTAGTACAAGTAATGTTACAGTTATAATCTGTATATTGATTCATGAATTTGTATTAATATTGGAAGTTTACATTCTGCTGGGGATGTTGAAGAATTTAAACGAATAGTAGTATCGCTTAGCATCTTTCAAAAGCTATTGGAGTGCATGTTATAGAAGTTGACGAAAAGGCTAAAATAAATATTTGGTAGTTTCCTATTTCTGCCATAAGCTTTTTTCAAGATTGCATTTTTCGAAAATTCATGAAGAACATGCTGTTGAGTGAAAAACTTGTACTATTTTTCATTATTCCCATATAAGATCAATATTTTGTTAAGGTAGATAGCATAAATCATAAACAAATATTGAGAGAAAACATTTGTTGAACGAAAGTCATTTTTTCTGGAGGAAAATCAGTTTATTATCGTCCTTTTTTTGGGTATTTTCACCTTCCACAATATGAAAATTATAATGGAGAACTTTATACGAGTGTAGAATGGGCATCTTGTCGAAAAAGTTGAGAAATAAATAATTAGCAAAGGAATAACTGCAAATATATTTGAATTTTTTGTCCATTTCTGAAGACGGGGGCAGATTTTGGCCCCTGAAACGGTTAAGAGTATTGTATTATTTCTTAGCAAATTTTTCAATAGACAAAATAGAACTTTTATTTGCGAAAAATACTTTGATTTTACGCAGTAACTGATCTGGATGAACTAAAAAGTTTGCCTTTTCTACACTCGTATAAAGTTCTCCATTATAATTTTCATGTTTTTCAGATTGTAGAAGGTGAAAATACTCAAAAAAAGTTCGACAAGAAACATTTGTCTATAGTGGTTTGAAATGACAAGAAACGTTTAATTTTCGTCCCAACTGAATCCCTAATATAGAATAAGTTCTTAAAATTGTGCTGAATGTGCCTTATAGCTATGATAAGTAGATTAGTGATAGTAGATGATCATTTTCTCAAATTTCAATTTGGAATATTTTTATATGAAATGTCAATGAATGGTAAATCTTTGGAATTGACAAAGGCCAGATGACTATGCGGAATGTGTTGAGCTTTGAAGCCGCGCTGGCGCTTGCGTTTTGTCTGGTACCGCTAGTATACAGTAGTCGCTTGTGCTATTCGCAGATCTAACCCCAGTACTCCGACTCAGCCACGAAGGCCCGACTTCATCGGTGTGGTTTATCAGAACCAGCCCCCCCACTACTACGATTTCCAGCCCTCTCAGGACAACCACCACCACCTGCAGCAACAGCAGCGCCAGATGATGCCCCCGCAAAGCTACGGCGGCAGTCCGCAGCGACGCTTCATGTCTGAGGGAGAGCTCGTAAGGCAGGAGCAGCTCTCGTACCCACGATCCAACAACACCGTCGACAACATCCGCGAGTTAGCAAACTCACCTCAGCGGGGCGTCTACATGTGGAAGGACACCTCCCCCGGTTATCCGCCTCCCACGGACTTCTATAGGTCAAACCCAACAAGCCCCACGCAGCAGCAGCAGCCCTACGCCGCCCCCCCAGTCCGGACTTACCACCCCGCCGCTCGGGGGGGCGTTCCCGTGTATCCGCCCCCACAGAGTCCCCAGGTTCACAGAAAGCAGCCCGGCGGGGGCCCCGCCCCTTCCGATAACCGTCGGAGGCCCATGTCATTCGTGAGGGCACTCGAGATGTCCGACACTACACAGGAGGGTGCCCCACAGTGCACAGCGCATGTCGGGCAGCGCCCTTCCACCCCAGATCGTGCCAGCGTCTATGACATGAACTACGAGATATCCGTATAGGGCAGGTGTCGGCACTCGCGACCCGTCGAATGAGTGCGTTTAGTTTCTCTGCATCAGAGACTCGACTCGGGTAAACATTCCGTTTACTGTTTGTGCTCCTGTGTCACGCCCCCTCCTCTTATAGTGTCGTGCGGTATGAGATGTACGTTGAGAATTGCTGCCGTTGGCTGGCAATACATCGAAAAAAATATTTTGTGGAATGAAACCTCAGAATAAGTAACAGAGAGTATCGATGTTGAGGTAATAATAAATTGAAGTGTATTACTTCAAGTTATTATCATTGTCTTATTTTTCAAGATTTCAATAACTAGAAAGGCAAAACACTTAACCCTTTCACTGTGGTAAAAATGTAGTAGTTTATACTTCGTGAGGAAACAGTTTTTTTAGATATTTACCATAATGATTTATTGATTATTCTAAAAGAGTTAATTTCAAATCCGACAAGAATGGTCAATTAGCGATTTAGTAGCTTCCACACATTTATGTAATATGCAGAGTGTTGCGAAAGGGTTGAACTAAAAACATACAGCCAAGTGTAATATTTTCACTAAGAAAGTAAAACCACAGCATGTGTTTCGTTATACAATAGCTTCCTCGTGCAGGAATATTCATTCGTGCTGTTCCTTAGATTCGAAGAAATATTAGCAAATAGTATTTTGAGAAGTTTGATCAAAAATTACATGCTTCCTATATTTTGACAAAATCACTCTACTAGTTTTTTCGCAGAACCGACTTGAACACTTCAACATTTAAATATAAAATTGATTCATCAACTTATTTTCAGATTGATAATCATGATATCAGTTGATGCGAAATTGTTCATTGTACTTAGAAAGTCCCTGAATGTATGTTCTGTGGACATTAAAAATCATTTACAAATCAAGAAGTCTGTATCCAAACCTGTCATTGAAATTTAGACAACAGTTGTGAATAACATAAAAACATTGGCTTCCACGGCCGGGGTCACAATTAAAGAAGACAAAATCCCAGCTGATATGCCTGGTTCAAATGGAACTCAGGTAGTACCAAACAACTTTACGTTATGTGAAAATCGCACTGTGTTTTGATATGATTTTCATCCAGTGCCGGCAATTTCGTAAAAAAACTGGAAGGAACATTTATTTACAGCTTTGATATAGAAATGTGATTATTACCTCGAAAATTCCGTATAAATGTGCCATTAATAAAACTCTGGTGAAGTTCTCATTTGTTTCATTCCATAAAAAAATCAATTTTCGATCTATCTGTCTTGCAAATATCTGTTGTTATTCTACAAGGTTTATCATATTTTTATTAATTGTATTTTTCTGGAGTCCTCTATTCGAGTTTTGTGTTGTTTTGTTGTAATTTTTAATCTGTTTTTGTTTTTATGTTTAGCTTAAGACGATGTTGACTGTAACAGTGCCAGTCCTTAGTCAGTATGAAGGAGCGTTAACTCTCATTTTTGAGCATTAAAATTGTTTAACAAAGAAAAAATTTGTTATCTGTGACTTTGAAAAAGGAGAATACATTTTGAACTTTCCAAATAGCTGGATGAAAAAATGAGATACGATCATTAGAGGTGGATTCATATATTTTTGTTTTCCATATACTTTTTGAATTCACAATTTTCTTGTCAAAATGTTTTTAATTTTGGTATAACGCAGACAAATTATTTTCTGCAGGAGTTCAAGACGATAAAATAATTATTGAATCTTATTTGATAAAATTGATATCAAAAATAGAAAACCAAATATTCTCAAATTGATTACCTTTAAAAAACACAATATTTCTTTCATTTAAAGTTTTTATGCATAGTAAATATAATGATTCAAGAATATTGAGAATTGTGAAAAACATAAAAGACAAATAAATATGAGAGTAATACTTCAAAAATCAAAGTTGGAGCATTTTTCTGATTTTATTTTTTCAGCTTTAGTATGTTTTTCAAAGAGCGAGAAATGTGGTTATTATGTGAAAATGAAGTTTCTTGATGGTTGCCTTCGGCTTGCATCTAAATGTCTTTTTCTGTGTCTTATGGCAGAAATATTTTAAAATGAAATATTTTTGTTTAGGATATCTCGAATCAGAGTGATACTATTATATTTCATAACAAGAAGTAACCTAAAAATGCTTTTGATAATGTTTCCTTTTTTTTATAGTTTTATTCAATTTGGAATAGTTTGAAAATCGAGTAGAAAAAAAAACTGTCGGATATGTTACTTGACTCGAGATTGAACCCAGGACGACTGGCATACCTAGAGTTCTAACCACTTCTCCAAGAAGTTGATAACAACTTACAAGTTTATGTTAAATAACGCTATTTGAGTTCTTTCATTTTATCAAGTGAAACTTTAGAAAAAAAAAACAATTTTTGCACCACAATGAAAATTTCTAGTGGGATACACTCATTTCCATCTTTTTTCAATAGTCATAGACAATCTTTTTTTTTAATTCGCCTCCTTTTCCGAAAAAAAAAAACAATTGAAAAATAATTTCAGACTTTCAAACCATCACGCTTTTAAAAAACACAAAGAATTTTTTCTAACAAATTTTGTTCTGTCTTGTTTTTATCTGACAAATGCTCTGATATCTTTCATACTGAATGAGGTCTGGTATATTACTATTGTACTAACACAGGCAGTGACTATGATCTAGAAATATTCATACAGATTATTGTTAATTGGACTGGTGGGTGATATTAAATTAACAGGGCAACCAGAAAGTCACTTTCAATTCTTTACACTTTTATGAATCGTATTTCTTTTGTAAATATTTATGGCAGGTTGTTAATGGGATTCCATCTTCGAAAACTATGGATCTTAGTTTAAATGTACGGGTTAAATCATAAGTAACAAACACCGACATGTATTTGGGTTATTGATTTTCTAAAAATATTTCTTTTTTAATTTGGCTAATGGAAATAATAGTTAACATTTTTTCTAAAAATATGCCAACTTTGTAATGATTGCTTTAGATATTACATCAAACTAGACATTTTCACTCGAGTTTTGTATTTCTGTGATTCTCAAACCATCTACTGAAATATTATTATTATTTTCTTGTCCTTGCCCTGTATAATCGAAGATTACCTAATGAATCAGTTGCCAAAGTGGTTTTTGTAAATAGCATTTATATACATGAAATGTAAAAATTGAAGAATTGGCAACTAAACCGCTGATAATTTGAAAATTAAAGTGGACGTTAGATCAAATATTCCAATTTATTCAATATTAATCATCTAAAAGGTTCGTGGCAAAACGAGTTTTTTCAGTTAACTTGTTTGAATTTTATCAAATTGGAATATGACTTTATGAATGCGCTGTGTAATGAGAGATTATTTATTTCAGTTTCTGAAATTTTATTTATAGAAAAGATTCAACTATAGTGTTGTCAGTGAATTTGGTGTAAGAGTTAAATAATCCAACAGGTTATCAAAAAATATTGAATTTGAAGCGGAAGAGAGTTTTCATTATTTTATACAATTTTGTACTGATTTTCCCTTTATTCAATCATTGTGTAAATCAAACTGTAAGAAAATAAATATTACTTTACAATATAGAATGTTTTATTTGGATTATTCAATTTTACACTTACATGAAAACTATTGCAGTTGCAGTTTTTGTTGGTTTCAAGCAACTATCGTCATTGTTATAATAATAATAATAGCATTTATTGCCCAACAGATTGTACAATCCCCTTACAGAGCAATGTTAGAACAACAGAAGTTGAAAGAAAAGAAAATAATGCCATTACAAAAATAGATGACTTCAAGTATAGTGAAAGAAAAACAAGTAAGTAAAATATTACAGACTTTGCACTAACATGCTATATTTGCTTCAAGCTATTCCAGAATAAATCAAAAGAGTTACAAATTTAGTTAAAATTGTTCCATATTGTGGTGATTTCGAAGGACATTGGTTCTTGGTCGGAAATTATAGAAAGTTTAATTTTTTTCTGCCTGCGAATTGTGGTACCTTGAAATTTAAATGGCTCAGTAGATCAGGACAGTCAATATAAATATAAACCAGATTGAACTTTGAAAGCATAGATAATATGCTTGACATCTATTTTATGCCTCCATTTATTGACTGTCCTGATCTACTGAGCCATTTAAATTTCGAGGTACCCCATTAAAGATACATACATCCTACATGCCTCTGAAAGCTTATGATTAATGTGCCGAAGAAAACTCAGTTCAGAATCAAAGACAATCCGTAAATCTTTTATGGAATTATATTGTAATAAGACAATTCCATCCAGTTCCAAATTATATGAAAATTCACTGATTTTTTTCTTTATATACTTTATAGTTTTGCATTTAGATACATTCACTGATAAATTATTAGCCAAGCCCCAACCATGTGTCCCATGTATTATTAAAAAAAATTGATGAAATCTAATGAACGAAACGTCGCATTGCAAATTGGTTTATATCAGATTTTTGAGGATTGGCGTTCGCAAGAGGGTAACAGCTGGTTAATGTAAAAGCACTGTTTTCAAACACACATTATTCTGTCACACTTCGCTATTCTATTTTATCTCTCATTACTTTCCAGAATAAAATTTGGAGGTGGTTGATTGATGAATTGTTGATTGAGATAGGATTAGAATCACAATCGAAAATTTTCCAATAATAGTTCAAAGTTAGTGTAATAAATAATATCAAGGTAGCAGAAAATTCTAAAAGAGATGTTATATACATTTCAGTTTAAATAATTTTACTGATGAATAATAAATTACTTATTCTAATCACTGAGATCAATTAAAATTAGTAAATAAATTTGGGGGTCAGGATCTTCGTATACCGTTCTTGTATCCTCTACACCTTCGTACTAGTTCGAACTTCCTGTATCTCATGCAGTGCCATTGAGGTACCTGATTCATGGTTTCCAATGCCTAAAAATTGAACGATGAAGATTGTAGGTTGAAATGGCATGCTCATTGTGTAAAAGGTAGGGTGTGATTTCACGTATGTTTCACATTTAATTAATAAAAATATACTTTGTCTGAAGACAGTATCTTATTGACAAAAGTCATTTACCACTCAAAAGTATAATATACATTTCCTAAATAATTGCTGAAATTTTACAGGGATTATTAAAAAATAAACTTGCATACATACATACAAATATGCATAAGAACATGTCCCTCGAGACAACAACAATAACTGAATATGGGGTAGAGTAATTTATTAACCATTTGAAATAGAAAGTAAATTTATGGCAAGTCAGGCACTGTTTCGATATTCAAAAAAACTTGGTATATGATATTAACATTGTTTATAACACATAAAAACAATTTTAAGAAAGAAAATTTCTTTATGCTGTACACTTTTGTATTTACACAAGTCACAAAAAATTTCGCAAGGTATTCTTGTTCCTATATTGCAAATATATCGAATGACACGTTTTTGTAGACTAAAAATGAAGAATAGAGCAACATCTAGATGAGGAAATGAATATTTTCAAAGGGAATCTCAAAACATACATCTCTCTCAGCGTACCTACATAGCAAGTTCTGGTAAATGCCTGCATGAAAAAAACTACTTCCCCGGCTAATACAACGACGGACATTGAATTATTTCCGACTGACATGTATGTAAGATGCTTCAGAGGCTTGCAGATGTTTCTCGTTATTTCAGCAGTTGGACCACGTGAAATCAATTGAGTAGCTCACCTAAAGAGTGGTTTCGAGGTATTACCTGTCATCAGTCCAGGAAAGATTCGTCCCAAACATCAGTAGCATTCAATTGATTTCGATGTGGCTCGAATGTATGTATGAAACCTTCATCTACATATTCATAGACTGTTATCAGTTTTTTTTTCAGTGTTCTATTTCAACAAGTCATTGGATTATTCAGAAGTATGGTGAAAGTACTAAAGGAATATTTGTCATATGTTTAGCAATACTGACGGAAAACAATTCCGAAATCTCTGTATATAATAGGATGTAACCGAGAAAGATGCACTCAATTTGTTAATACATTCCTTAACTAGTTGTTTTGTGTAAAATGTGTATAACGGCTGAATAATAGCACAAAGTTAAAATTAAAACTATTTCCATTTTGGTACTTACTGTTTCAGAGGTTTGAATGGGTAACGAATAAGCGCCTTGCAAAACTATAATAACCACCAACATTAGATATACTTTCGTGTACCACCTCATCGTAAAGTCAAGTTGAATTGATTCTGGATTGAATCTTGGCGTTGCATTCAACAACTGCAGCTGTATAATGGAATAAGTGATCCATTCATCTTATTTATACTCGCGATGCACAATGAATTAACCTAGATCAAAACATTGGACTCATCTTTTCAGACCTACTTTCGACCCTTTATTATTTGCCTTTGTCCTACTTTACTGATTAGGGAATACTTATAATGAATACTTTAATGTGTTGGATAAATGGGCGCTACCATTATTAGAGCACCACTTTCGACTCTTTTTCAAAATATTTTCTTATTGCAATTACGAAAACTCATTTTCAATAGCATTTGAAAAAAACATTGATATGTAATGGCAACCAGTCAAATATTTATTCATTTATTTTGTTGGTATGGTTACATAAATAAATATGATATTTGGAAAAACAATACAGGTGTTTTAATTTAGTTTATAATTTAAAAAAAAATGCATCGTCCCTAAAAAACACCCATATAGATCTTACAATATATGAACAGATGGATGATAACAAGATACAACTAGAACCTCTGGCATAGAATGAATACAAAAACAAGCACTTTCATCAATCACGTGAACTGCAATATTCTTCTTGACACGCGTTTCACCAACAAAGTTGACGTCTTCGAGAGATGAAGACGAGTTTTCCCTTTTCTTTGATTTAATAAATAATAAGCATTTATTCTTTTCCGAAAAACTACAATGGCTTATACAGGGAATTATTTATACAAGAAATATTCATATATAACTTCCAAAGGTGCTATTTCAGCATTCCTCTAATTAATAACAAAATAAATATGATACTGTAAACTAATAAAACAAGTAGTTCTTTGACGCTTTTTTAAATGTTTCAGTGTTGGAAAATTGTTCAACTTCATTTGGTGGTAATTCATCATATGCAATTATTCCTTTGTAAAATATAGATATTCTTGAAAATGCATATTTTTATTTTTTTATTCATTGAGCTGTCTTTTTTAATGATCATTTACATTTCTGAGTTCTATAAATTCCATAGTAGAATATTTTTCATTCTTCATAACAGACTGCAGAAAGATACATACCTTTATTTCATAAATAGAATTGCTTTATTTTGTTAACTCCTTAATGGTCTCAAAGTTCTATGTGAAGGAGTTCCACATATACTGTTCGAATACTGTAATTTGAATGAGTGAGTGAGAAGTAAATTATTTTCAGATGTTTCAAAGAAATACAGTTTATTTATATGGAATCGTAATAATTGGAGCTAACTTTTTTCCGAAATAAATCTATCCGGATCTTACACGAAAGAGTGTTATCTATGTGTAATTTTGTTCTACGAATTAGTCGAAAAAAGTGGTTTTGAGGAATATTCGTTTTCCAAAATTTTCCCGATTTTGGGTTGGGTTGGGTTGGCCAGATTGGGTTGACCTCCTTAGGTTGGCTTTTTTCCCGTCCGTTGGGTTGGCCTTAGGTTGGCTCTCTTAGGTTGACCGTCTTGGGTTGGCCTTAGGTTGGACCACTTGGGGTGACCTTCTTAGGTTGACCCTCTTGGGTTTGCTTTTTATTCTGTCTATAGAATGGCCTTGGGTTGGACAACTTGGGTTGACCTTCTTTGGGTTGGCTTTGGACTTGTAGTATTCTTCAAAAATCCGAGAAGCATTCGGGACAGGTGTGGGATAATGGGGCCCTGGGTGGGTTAAAAGAGGTAAAAAGGTGAATCTACGTTAGAAAAAATATCAATATTTTCAAAGATGACGGTGGCGCCATCTAGTAGCAAGAGACTAAAGTATTACCTATTGTTTCGCCATCTATTGGTATGAGATGAAAGTTGACAATTCGTTTGCGAATGAAGTGGCGCCATCTAGTAGTGAAAGACTAAAGTAACCTCCAGTGGCGCCACCTAGCGGTGAAAGACTACAGGGTCATTTTACAGTGGCGCCATCTAGCGGTGAAAGCCTAAAGTATTAATTACAGTGGTGCCATCTAGCTGTGAAAGACTAAAATATTATTTACAGTGGCGCCATCTAGTAGTGAAAACTAAAGTATTGGGTTGACCTTAGGTTGGCTTTCACCTAACTAAATTTTTAAGGAGCTGTAGCTGCCTAAGAAATCATTTTATGATTTTCAACATTATAAACCATCTTTTATATGAAGGTTCAGGTTTTTCAAAAAAAAACTTATCCAAAAATATCAGTCTATATTCTTCAGTACAAAATAATATTAGTCTGCATATTATTCAGCACAAACAAAATCCATTAGAAAAATGATATATGTACTAACAAAAACTCGTTTTGAAAACAGTAGCATGGAAATGAAGAAATTATCCTATCTAATGAAGAACATTGAAAAGAAAATGACAAAAAATAATTTAAAAAACTAATAAAACTTTGGTAAACAGTATCACTGAAATAACTTTAGAAACTCATTATATTTTTGTTATCGGTAGAATAAAACACTGTTTTGGGTTTCTTCTACACTAACATTTTTCTTCAGTGATGAAATATGTCTCTCCTTAGCTCTTCTCAGCCATGCTTTGATAGCATCTTCTGTAGATTTTTTGTTTTCTGATACGCAACAAATGTCAGCAGCTTCTACAAAAAAAATATTTCCCATTAAAAAAAAAAGGATACAGCATATTCAAATATGCTCAATTAAACATTCCCTCAACTTCATTAGTTAATAAAATTAATATGTGTTACAGTGATTAATTGTTTACAGCCTTTTCTTCACCAAACAGTTTGGAAAAACAAAAAATACCGATTCCATAAAAGAAGAATTACCAAAAACATAGACAAAACCTTTGATGATGTGTACACCATCCATAAACAGTCAGTTCATACACAAAAACGAAGAGTCTATCTGAAACAACTTCATTGGTTTACATATTGAGCCACTTCTATGATTCAATGCCAGGAAAGCCATATAAACAAGGGATTAGTTATTTTAAACACTCTTCGTTTTTCTGAGTAAATTGAGCAGAGTGGATGCTAACACATCACCATAAAGTAATACTTTTGGTAATTCTTTTATATGGAAGTTCTGTTTCGTTATTTAACGTGTAATGAGCATCCTCCTAATTTTGAAATTTCTGTTACCTGAAAAGATAAGTTACATTAACGTTGATGCAACGTGTTGAAATATTTACTTACGGCAGCTTTGAAAGCGTCCGGTTCATTTAAATATTCTTCAAGTTGATTCAGTTTGTCTTCAGAGTCAATAGGGAAATGTTTAAATGACACGAAAATAGACTGAACATCAGTGCTTGCCTCACGTTGATTATTAGCATTGAACTCTAATTTAAGCTGTTTTACTTCCTCTAAAACCTCATTTAATATATGCCGCGTCAAAATCTGCTGTTTGAGCAAATGTTTCAGGGAGTCACCTGAAAATTCAACATAACAATATTAATTTAGTCTTCACAGTCTAAATCATTAATAAAGTAAGTATAAGAACAGTATATTATTGTTTGGCTTAATACTAATAAATACATTGTACTTTGGCATGATAGTTCATAACAAAGTTGAGGGTTTTCATCTCTAACTAATCTCGAGTAGACATTGTAAGTGACCTATCAATTCAACACTTGAGTATATTAACTTCATTATGCAGAATTTTGTTAGTACTACTTGATTAAATGCATGTTTTGTTGAACTTGAACAAAAATACGTACCCAATTTATGTTCAGCACAGCAACAACAGGATGAATTAATACCATCTGCAAAAAGAACATTTGTTTCATCAACAAATCAAAATAACAACCTTACATTTTCTGAATATCAAGTTTTTTTTTATAAAAAGACTCTTGACATGTTATGGTTAATGTTGTCATTCAATTGCCAAGTCTCATTTCATTTTTCAATAATATATTAAAACCAAGTCATCGGTTCCAGATGTGGAATATTAATTTTAATCAGTTATCCTACAAAACAATCATATTTTTGATAATATGTGAAGAAAATTGTGTCCCCTCTCATAAAGAACAAAATCTAACCTATTTCGAAAATATCGAATACTATAAGAAGAACTCAGATTTACCATACCTGTGGTATTTGCAGCGGCAGATGTATTAGCTTCTGGTATTAAACTTGAAGGTAATTCCTTATTATGTATTTTTGGTGGCTGAGGCAACTTTGGACTGAAGTAAGTCTCTTCATCAGAAGAAGATTCGACTTGTTTTCTTTTTTTATATTTCCTGGAACTCTCTTCAGTATCTGAATTAAGTTCACTATAAATTTCTGCCTTTTTAGTTTTTGTTCTTGCGAGAAGGTAATCATCTGAAACAATTAAATGCATATAGTTTTCTTAGGCGATGACGAGTTCACAATTTAAATTACCATATGTTGCATCTCCAAATCTTACAATATCGTGTAGAGGCCAACACGTATTAGGTCCTTCATTTTTTCTTATGCTACTGACCAATTTTTCTTTGGGAAATGGAGGCCAGTAACATTTGTGGCTTCCAAGTAGCCATGTTGTCGGTACAGCTTCCACTGAATTTTCTTCAATAAATTCAACAATCGTCCATGTAGCCTCCATTTTATAAAAAGTTAATTTCTAGGCTGAATTAGTAAATTCAGTATTTTACAAAAACAAATTTTTCTAGAATCAACAAGTGAACTACTGCTTGTTAAGAATGAAAATAATTTATACGACGTGTCCCCATTATTGGAATAATCCGGAAAGTCTTATTTCAAAAAAACTATAAATTATTTTGTTAAATTTCTCTCCTGATAGTTAATCCTTGACAGTCTTTTGTTGATCAGTTTGTATGTTAAAATTATTTTAGTACCACGTGAATATTGGTATGAATGTTTATGATTCCTGAAGTAACTTAAACAATTAGTCGAATATTTGAAAAGATATTGCATGCCGAATTTTGCTTTGGATTTCTTATCTGTTTTTCCATTAAAGATTTAAATGTTCCTATTATCAGCACCTGTTTGAAATGACTAAAAATAATAACAAAGCTCTGCATACAAGTAACATATTAATTTACTACTGTAGATGTAATAGAGGAAAAGTAATAAAAGTATGATTCAGTTTTAGTTTCATGCATTTATATGCAACTTGGCTTAAGGGCCATAATTGTAGAGGGCCAGGAGTACTCGAAATGAATATTCCCAACTGTGACGATTCACAAGGAGAAGTATACAAATTTTCCAAATTAATGAACTTTCTTTCAATAATTTTCATTTCACCCTCATGAGCTATAAATTTTTTTATAATTATTACAGAATTATTTTGCAGATAACAACAGTTATCAGCTTCAGAAGTTCTAAGAACGTAATTAGAAAATTCAACCTTTTTATATTGTTTAGAATTAATGACGTTTGAAAAAAGAGGCCCTTCAGAATGTTCAATTGATGGTTGAGGATACTGAGTCTGAGAACAATTCTGAGGATTGTTAAAATTTCTTTCCTGTTCATATATTCGCCTTGAAATTTGTTCAAGTGGCTTTTCACCTTTCCTTACTAATTTTTTCAGCTTCTGCATGTGATTCTCAAATGGAAAGGCACTGAACTGATCTATTGGCCCTAAGTACTTTACATCATCGCACAAGTGTAGTAAGTTATGAATATTATGAGATACATTTTCTGATCCGTACAAAGTCATGAATGTTTCAACAAAGTATTTTAAAAGTGATTCAGCATATTCATAATGATTTGCAAATTTTGAATTTGATAAAAATGAAAGAGCAACATGTAATGTTATAAAATGTACATATTTATCTTGATCTAACACTGGCTGTAAAACAACTGGACCTAGGTAAAATAAAAATAATCTAAATTCTGTAGCCTTCCAACGCTTTGCATCATCTAAAGAGCGTGGTTTTCGGCTGAATTCTGAAGGGATCTGGGAAGAATGATTCACAAGTGATTTGGATGATGTTTTAACCTGATGATGCGATAATTTTATTCCTGGTTTACCACCAAGCCACAGAGATACTATCAACTTTTTTACTACTCCAAGGCAAATTAAGTGCATATAATCTAAAGGAAAATTTCGTATCATATCTATTCTTGGTAATAACTTTAAAACTAAAGTACCAGTATGATGTTCTTTGTGTACTTTCGATCTGAAATCGAAGTCAGTGCGCAGGCAAAAATTATGAACCCTAGGAAAACATACTCTATTATGGATAAAAACTCCTACAGCAGTACACTTTGAACAAGAACTATAACCGCTATGTCCTTTAGTAAACTTAATGAAAGATTTTGCTGGAACGTCACATATAAATGCCTTTATTTTTACAACAAATTCATGACCATTATATGTAATTCCATTATTGAGGACATCTATTGCTTCAGTAACAAATTCATACAGAAATTCATTTGCATCTGCTGGTTTTTCATTTCCATGATAAACACCTATCACTGCTACAGTTTTAGTCCCAAATATATTGCATTAAATTGGGTATAACTGGCTACCGGAACTCTTCGATAGAGGTAAACCATCAATATTTATACTTAATTCTATTACATTACAATTTTGGTTAGCTAATTGTGAATATATAATTAATTTTTCAATACATTTTTTGAAACCAAGATGGCAATATTGCCCTGGTTCTACTTTTTTCAATGGTATGATTGTAGGAGTATTCAATAAAAGTTCGAGCATCCAGAGGAAGTTCAGGATGAGATGGCTTTAAAATATGAAGAAGGTTAGTGACCGCTACTTGTAGTATACTATGCAACAATGCCCAATGGCTCTTGTTTAGAATGTTGAGTGTAGTTCCCAAATTTATAAAACTCTTCTATAGAAGGGGTAATTATAATGCCTTGGGTATTTGCCTCATCAATTCTGACAGACAAGACATCATCACTAGGTTGGGCATCAGTGATGTCATCACTACTCGAAGTGGAGGAAACTGAACTGGAATATTCAGGAGGTCTTATATTGGAAAATGATGAATCATTGGTGTCGGTAGTCTCCAAACAGGTGGATGATCCTGCACTGCCTTGTAATGATTTTAACTCCTTTCTTGTTCTCTTGTATATTTTATGGAGCATTTTTTTTTCTTTTAACATTTTGTTTTTCCATCTTTCAACACTATTCAAAAGGCGTTTTCGTATGAAAATTTGATTATATAGCTATGTCAGGTTATAAAATATTTAATGGAATATTTACCTGCTTGGACTGCTTTTAATAAGATTTACAAATCAAACACCGATTCAAATAAACATCTAAATGGGATCATAACAACTAATAAAAACACTGGGTACTTCACAAACTACGGACCACACGTATCTCTCTTCCCAGTCTTTGACGTTTGACCACGCAATTCAACATGCAACATGAAACGTCAAACGGCATGCTCAGTTGCACTTACAGTGTTGCTACAGCTGTTTTTGAGCAGAGAATTGGTAAATATTGGTGAAAAGTACATCAGAAAAATAATAATAAGTCCTTTAGATAATATTCAGTCATTTCTGGGAGGATATCCAGTTTTTCAATATCTTATGGATATTCAATTTTGGATATCTTACCGTTATCTGTTTTGGATATCTTATGGATGTCAAAAATATGTCCTCGGGAGAATATATCTCCAAATCTTACAATATCGTGTAGAGGCCAACACGTATTAGGTCCTTCATTTTTTCTTATGCTACTGACCAATTTTTCTCTGGGAGGCCAGTAACATTTGTGGCTTCCAAGTAGCCATGTTGTCGGTACAGCTTCCACTGAATTTTCTTCAATAAATTTAACAATCGTCCATGTAGCCTCCATTTTATAAAAAGTTAATTCCTAGGCTGAATTAGTAAATTCAGTATTTTACAAAAACAAATTTTTCTAGAATCAACAACGTTTCAAAATTTTTTTTTTCGCGAATATGAAATATTCATTAACTCAGCGGGATTCTCTGTGTATATAGGAAAGTTTTTTTCGTATAATTTTTTTTGTTAAAATCCATCATTTTCTCGTGTAATTCTAAATTACATTTCAGTATGACGCGCTCACTCCTTACGACTCTTAATCAACAAATGCGTTTTTAAGGAATAAAACATTTTTTTTCAAAAACGATTTCGTTTTTAAAAATCATAATATTCATCACTGATAAAAATCCCCCAAAAATTTTAAAATATGTTATAAACAATACATTCGTTTATAACAAAACAAATAATTTTTATTGTTCAACCCTCCGTATCGGACAACGAGTGCGGGACGCACATTGCTCGCTTTTTGCGCTATTTTCGCCTGTGAATTAAAATTATAAATATTGGTGACAGAGTTCCGGGAGATGGTATTTCTTCACGAAATTTACTCCTCTTCAAGGATCTTGTTTCAAATTTCGGATATTTTTAAAAATTTTCCGATATTTTTGCAAGAAACCAAACCCCCCTTTTTTACTAAATTGTTTATAAATTTTGCAACTTTTTCGAGCCCCGCTTGGAAATTTTCAAAAAGTTGCTAGAGGTCATTCCGAATCGAATGAGCCCTGGATCATAGTTTTCGGTGCCTTCGGACACAAGTTCCAAAACAAGGATCTTGTGACCCAGACTATGAAGCTATAGCTATCCACTTACTCGACAGACTGGTATAGTAACGAGAGCATGATTTTTGTTACTCATGATTAAAATCTGATTCCAATGATATGATAATACCACATGACCTCATGGCTTTGTGAATGAAAATGAGATTATACGAGGATATAACTGTTACCAGAAAAAAATAATGTAAGAAAAAATGCATCGGCCGGGAATCGAACCCGGGCCGCCCGCGTGGCAGGCGAGCATTCTACCACTGAACCACCGATGCCTTGTTTAACAACTAAATAAATCAATAAAATCCAGTGTTCAATACTATAATAAATCAACATTTCTCACATGATTCAACCCATTGATTGATTTCCATTGCTGATCACAGTTATTCTTTATTTTTACAGATGAACACCATTGAATTTTTTCAATATAGGTACATTTTTTCTCATTCTTTGATGTTTTTCCTCCTAACTAATCTCAGTATTTTGGTCTTCATTAGTTTTTGTTTATTTCATTTTTCAATCTTTTCTTTTATATAATTTTTTTCAAATCTTCTCACTTTTTCTTCATTTAATGGAAACCTGAACCTTCAAGATTCACCAAGAAAATTGTCACCAAATTTATATATTCTTTAGGATTAGTAGGATTACCAATGTATTTCATTCTAATGCTTTCAGTATTTTTTTAGTGATGCTATTCAATATTGTATAAGTGAGTAGCTATTGACTGACATCCCAATATTAACGTAGAGCCGAAGTTACTGAGATATGTAGGTAGTTCTTTGTACAGCGTTAACCTTCCGATCAGTGAGAATCCAGATAACACTGGATATCTTATGGATATCCAGTTTATGTCCAAATCAAGTCGGAATATCCTTGGACCTATTTTGGATATCCATATGATATCCAAAAACTGGATATTCTCTCGGGAACCTATTTTGGGCATCCATAAGATATTCAAAACAAATAACCATTAGATATCCAAAATTGAATATCCATAACATATTCAAAACAGATAACCATAACATATCCAAAATTGAATATCCATAAGATATCCAAAAACTGGATATTCTCTCGAGGACATATTTTTGACATCCATAAGATATCCAAAACAGATAACCATAAGATATCCAAAATTGTATATCCATAAGATATTGAAAAACTGGATATCCTCCCAGACATGACTGGATATTATCTAAAGGACTTATTATTATTTTTCTGATATGTACTTTTCACCAATATTTACCAATTCTCTGCTCAAAAACCACTGATCTACCATGCAGTTCTTGTCAAACAGCTGTAGCAACACTGT